ATACAAATGGTCTAAAGTCTTACGCTAAATGTAGCAAAAATGCCTTTCCAGCAAACCTTGAACTAATAATGTCAAAGATCATTTTCAGTCGTTTTGGTGGTACACTATTCTTTCTACTACTAAACTTCTTTGTTCGGTCTCATTTGCAGTATCAAAAATTTGATTCTTCCTCTCAATCCCAAAAGTACAGGAAAACAGAAAGAGGTGTCCATCGGCGAACCACGAAATTATTCAGAGGATCCAAGTTTAAACCCTATGAAGAGGGCCTCAAGTCACTGAACATGTACCCGGTAAAGTAAGGACGTCTCATAGGTTATTTGTTGACTCCCAGCATGTAAACACACCTGAAAATTCCCAAAAGTACTTTATTAGTCCCGGTCTCAATACAAACACTAGAGATAATATCAGAAACCGAAGGCATAATATGGCTAATTGATTTCTGGCATAACTTTCACTCTTTACAATTAGACTAATGCTGCAATTCGTAACTGACATAGGTGGTAAAAGCGACTTCCCTGAAGTGCTTCGTCAAAAAATTTGACGTTTTCCTAAAAACTAAAAACGCGACTTATTCATGACCTACATTTCTTTTACTCGTTGAATATCCTGAGGTTCCTACCTGGAGGCATCTGTGATCCATTGCCAATGCATACGGGGGCTCGTTAAGAGGAAACGGCTATTCCATCCACAACCACTTGGACCAACTGTACTCGATATTAAGCATGTATGGCACAAGTCACAAAGTTCAAACTTTATGATAATAAACATAATAATCGTTGATCAGATGTCTAGTTTATCTTCCACTGGAACAGTTTGTACAGTTGAACAGACAGGACTTATATACCAAACCATCCATATCAAACTTAACTTTTGTGAAACAAGTTCCACTTTTGACTTTCACAGTTAGCGCCATGGACAAGTCCTCGGTGACCTCTCAACATTAACAAGTAACACTACAGTTTTTAATACTAGATTGTGATATTTAAACCTTCCCGACGATATAAACTTTGCCTCCACTCGTTTTCAGACAGTCAAAGTCGCAACTCAGACAAATATAATTACACCAAATCGGAACCACCGTTCAGTAGGTCTGGTTGTCGTCACCAACTCCTATATTCCTAGTTGCTCCAACGGTAACGGAAACAAATTTATTTACTTCTTAATACAGGATTTATGGAAGAAATACTGGATTCACGCGAAGATGCTTACTCAAATGAAGCAGACTATTGTTGTCTGCTCGTTGCTAGTTAAGACCAGCGATTCAGCATTTGAATAAAAATTCTACAGTGCGTAGGTACACTGTCTCTGTGGTATTGTAGTACCTTGACAGTTTTATAGGTTCTCGCTACCTCAACTTTGTTTTGGTTATAGTGTGTTTGTCCACAGTGTTAAATCACTGACACAATAAAATTAACAGTAGCGAGGCCAAAGAACCCATCGATAAAAAACCTGTCAACGGTAACAGGTAGGCCAAATCAAGATAACCTGATGCTATCACCCCGAAATTATTCTTAACTCTCTTTAAAACATACGCATGGTCATAACTTCAAATTCACAAATTCATCGCTATCACTCTCCTTAATAGGGACATAAATGGGTAGAATCGAGTGTAATGACGAACGACTAAATGGGCGAAAGGGTCGAAGAAAAAAACCGTGCGAAGAAAGACTTCAACATTCGGGATTATTCCATCTGAGGTATGGGAGAATCAGTGGTTATTTGATAATGACGTACAACATGTTGAGTACACCGAACCACTCCAACTTGCTCGTCCTGACTGAGCATCACCAGTAAGCCTGGAAAAATTGCATATCAGGGAGCAGATACTCAAGAATGTGCACACTTCTTCTCCTAGGCAAGAGTTTTCGCCACCTGAAATGCCCTCAGCCGAAGTTACCACATCAAATTAAGTGGATAACTTCAAGGAGAAACTTGACAAACACATACTCTCATATGAATACCACCACCCACCTGGACTAATAGTTCCTGATGAATTTCTCAATACTTGTTATTCATTATCATGGTCATTTCCTCGGGCAGACAACATATTCTGTTCCGCTCATAATCTCTGTTTCCTTATCCTTGCCTACACTTCAGTCCTTTCACGCAGTCTTCATTAACAATCAAATAACTTATTTTATTATTTTCATAGTTTTGAAATTTTCTTCTTCTTATTGGCAGTAAACTTCTCTCCTTACTAATCTTCTTATGGCAACTAACCAATCTACGGCCTGTTAATGAGATGGCTTCTGATGATCGTATACCCTACTGCACTGAGACAGATGCACTCACTCATATCACGGGACATACAATCTGACAAATAAATGCCAACTGACTAGAATTGTTGCAGCCCAGGGGTTATGCTACCATCCACTAAACATTACCGAGCACCTAGAACTGTACTGAAAGAACAAAAAGCGAGTGCAAGGAGAAGGGGTGGTTTATACAGACTCGTGGCAAGAACATTGGATATTGTTGTTGCACGGTGGCTTATTCAAAACTTTACGCTACCGACTTTTGGTTGTTCTTTTGTTTGCTAGCCGTTATTTTCTTCGTGTATTATTGCTGAATATTGTCCATTGTTTTTTACTTTAAAAGTAATTGCTTGATTCCTCAGCACACAAGGTCCGCAAACTTACAAAAGGTTGAAGTTACAGCACTCTAACGTTGTTATTTCCACTGAGCTACAGAAGAATCAGAGGCGATCTTATTATGGCGTACACCATATTAAACACGCCAAACCATCCCAATGTGAGCATCTTACCGATGCATCACCACCACTCCCGTCGAGGCAATCCTCGAAAGATTGCACATCAAAGAGCGAATATTCAGATTCGTGCACACTTTTCTCATTGCGAGTCGTCGCAACTTGGAACGCTCTCCTAGCCGAGGTGACCACAGCCCCCTCAGTGGACTGCTTTATGAAGAGGCTTGATAATCACTTACTCACATACGGACTATTATCTCCCTCTTGGACAAGCTGTTCATGATGCATTTCTTGAGACCTGCTGGTTGTTACCATTGTCATCTCCTCAGATCACTCAATTAATCTATCTCGCCTATTATCTCTGTTTCCTCCCCCTTGCTTACACTTCGGTCTTCTCTCACAATCTTCACTACCAACTAACAAACTACATTCATCTATATATTACTCGGTTCTGAAATTTTATCCATAATAACATTAGAATTTTATCCTTATTGCCCTTATTACTCTCCACATTGCAACTAACTGATCTCCGGTCTGTTAATGTGACAGCTGCTGGTATCCTGAAACAAACGTTTTCATTCAAATCTCGAGACATACAAACTCACAACCAACCGACTAGAATTAGACAGTCGAGTGGCTAGACCTCCATCCATTGGACATTACCGAACACCTGAAACCGTACCGAAAGAACAAGAATCGAGCGCGAAGAAATCAAACTGGTTTACACTAGTTCGTGAAAAAGATATTGGATTGGATATATTGGATATTGTTGAAATCGCCATGTCTGATGTTTTTAGTGTGAATGTCTGCACTTTCCATTACAGGGCGACCAAGGATTCATATGCTGCACAAACTGAGCTCGAAAAAGGATATATGGGACTATTTTGTTAACAAGCTATTATTTTTGTACGAAGAATCCGTAATCCGCTTTTAAAATATATGATCTCCTACCTTTACTTCGTGTTCTTTTTCTCCGTGTATCCTCAGACTAACGTTTGTATGTCGTCTTATATTTCCTTTGATGTTTGTGCAGCTAATATGACGCAAGACACCAAAAGCTTAGGTTAATGACGCGATGAATCTTGGTAGCCCTTGGCTTCCCATCCTTTCGTTATTACTTTCGACCTCGTAACGTGCGATTGATCTTACGTTCATATCACCTGTATTGACTTCGTGGCTCAAAATATCAGTCTGTTACAAACATTGGTTAGTATTAATAAAGTTGACGCTCTTGCCATAAACCATGGACATTATCTCTGTTGCTTGTCTTTGAGGAGTTCCATGCTGCTGGAACTTTTTTTTTAATTTCGAAACCAAAATTTTTCATGTAGGTTAAGATTTAGAATAATGTAATACTGAGGCATAATGCATTCTCTTTCTTTCCTAACAGACGACACCTCGTGTTAAAAATTTTCGTCACGTGTTTATTTTTTCCCCTGTGTTAATTGAGAAATAGTTCACAATACGGCAATCAAAATGTAAACGAAGTAATTTAAGACGGATAACTTGTCTTATAATCAATCAGTGATCCGTCATCACCTACTCTATCGTTTCCATGTCTTATTTTTAATCCACCTTATTTCTTCAAATTAGATTCTTATTGTGTGGTTTTTATTACTAACACTACCGTTATTTGACTCCTATTCATCTTGTCGGTTTGACCCTTGTTTATTGATTTGGTGTGGTAACTTGTACTACTGCCATTTGCTCTACCCTCTACAGTGATTGTGTCCAACTGACCGTTTAGAATAGCTACAAATCACAGCAAATAATTAGTCGAGGTTTTGATTTCCGACTTAAAACGGGATGCTGATCTCTTGTCTTTCTCTGGATACAATGATGTTTCGTGTATATCGTTTTATTCAAGTATTTAACAACTTTCCTTAAATTTATCACTTAAGTACTGGGAATGTAATCATGTAAAGACCGTTAACTGCTCATTTGGGTATCAGCACTTGATAGTTTGCAGAGCATGTAGTTCGTAACCTTCATTTTCAACATATGGTATTTTACGAGCGTCCTTAGATACCCCCCCCCCAACAAACCTCTAATCTGAGAGTTTAATTTACCTGGAGGTAAAAGTAAGCTGTTATATGCATTGTGCGATAACTGACACCCAAATTTATTTACATATTTAAAATGACCAACATTTTGCTTGTAATTCGTTTCACACTTGCAAGCCCCACGTTGTTACATATCCGTATCGCAAATTTTAATTTTGTGAATGAATTATTTATTCAATTTATTTTTTCGTGTGTAGGTGTGCATCTTTTAACCGTGCGTGTGCAATAAAATGAAATTTCCGGAACTAGGCGTAAGTTTTCTATTATGTCATGCTTATTTTCTAGAAGTCCTCAAGACCACTATTCTTATCTACTCTAGTTTTGTTTGATGTTGAGACTACAGGCTTACCATCTGCAAACTTTAATCCAGAAATTACAGAGTTATGTATGTTGGCTTGCAGCCGATTCAGTTTAGAGAATGCCACTGATGAGCCTAGAGTAGAAAACAAACTCACATTATGCTTCAATCCTACCCGAACTATTTCATCCATAGCATCTAAAATCTCCGGTAAGTTTACATACCTCTAATCCACTTAACCATGAAAGGTTTAAATTCCGACAATTTGTTCCATCAGAAGGATTTCGATGCCAGTGCAGTGGATCTTATTCAGTTGTTTATCAATCGATTGGATGCACCTGTATGCTTTATCGCACATAATGGACTGCGTTTTGACTTTCCATTGTTGAGAGCTCAAATAATGAGTGTAAAGGGAAAGGATTACATTCTGAACGACTCTACGCATGCACCAATTATATGCACTGACACCCTACCTTTATTTCGTGAGTTTGCCTCACAGTTGGCTGGAGCAAATTCAGATGATTCCGGATTTATTTCAACTGATGACCAGTCATCTACCTCTGTTCCTTTATCTCATTCTAGTCCGAAAAAGTTACCTAGTACTACTACAAACAAACATTCCTTTCACTTAGGTGATATACACGAACGTGTATTTGGTTTAAAACATAAACATGCTCATAGTGCAGAAGGTGATTGTAAAGCAATGCTTCGATTAATCCAGTATTTAGGATCACCTGCTATCGATTGGTTGCAATCTCATTATATGAATTTTAATTCATTAACACCTATGTATAGCTTACAGTCATCTGGTACTAGTCGGATTTGTTCACTGTTCCCTTACCAAAGAACTAATGTATATTCAAATGTATTCCTTAATGATACCGCTTCTCAGTTGGATAACTTACAGTTGGAATAATACAACAGCTTCTTGAATATATTCCTATCAATATTATTTCTGATATAACTTTCTATTGTTTTTTGTGACTTTTATTTTTAACTGTTAATAATAATTTTGATTGACCTCTTGACAAACCACTAGTCTTTCTTTTATATTGAACACAACCAACTAGCTGCCCAAAGTGTTTTATATTATTTAACTTCTTAATGATTGATTTCCGTGTTCTTACTAAGTTTTTAATATTTATTAGTTGTATATTCACACCATTATCTTCCGATGTTTTTTCTAATAATCTTTATTTCTTCGTACTTTTATTAATCCAATAATCAATGGTTTTTTTATTGATATTTTTCTCTGGTGTATACAGTAGATTAACTGCTACTCATTATATTTTGTTAATTTTACAATCTGGTTTTAATTTGTGTCAATGTGTATGTAAGTGAATTGCTGTTAAATCGTTAACCTATTTTGTTCATTGTGAAGCGCAAACTAATTTTGGTTCTAAACAAGTATAAAAATATCAAAATAATACTCAACAGGTTATTCATTCTTGAAAATGTTAGTAGAATATACAACGTGACAAATTTTAACAACACTAATTCGTCAATTGAATCCTACTCATTTTTTGTTAATTTATAGTTGATTTGATTAGTAGAAAGGAATCATGAAACCTCGTTGTAGAGGCGCAAGACTAGTTCCTTAAAACAACACAAATCCATATTTAGATCATTATGCTTCTGCACAATATTTTACAGCAATTCAGTACATTAAGAAATACATAGATACGTATTACGGTTCGAATGTTGAACGATGTGAGGTCTCTTGTGTTAATTCCACTATTCGCTATTTCATTAATGTTATATAAAGTTCTCAGTTGTATGTATTATCTTCTTCACTACTCTCTCATCGTATACCCAATCATATGGAGCCTGACTTTCCTTGAAACAGCACCAAATTGTCGTTAGCTTTCGTGTACCAGACCCCTCCCTCAACTGACAAATATCCACCTGCACCAAGTTTTCGACTACTTTCAACGTCTTATTGTAAAAACGATGTATAAAGTCAGTTATAATAAAGCAAGTTACTCTATTATTCATTCAAGATTTTACTGATTTGCCAAGCGTTAATATGGATACCTACTGAGATGATAGATTTTATTAACAGAGTTTTGTGCATGTTAACCATTCTTTAGCAGAAAAGACAAATGCCGTCATTTGTAAGACTTCATACTTCCACTATTTGCATCCTATATGGTCATCTTTTATGCCTACTCTAGTCTAGTACAGAAGAATCGTCACAACTCATGGCCTCGCCATTCTAGTATGCTGAAGAAGCAATTAAGTGGAGATTGAAGGCAGGTACATAGCGATAGTAGCAATAGATCATGAACCAAATGAAAATACAAACCAGACCTTGACTTGGTTGGTATGGAAATACAAAGTATAGTGATTTCGATTACAATCCCTGAATCGAAATCATGGGTATCCGATTGCTCCACATATTTGACTCATCCTCTTAACTCTGGTCTTGAGTACTAACATTTATCATCATTTTGGTCCCTCTGATTTTTGTTAGTTACCAATCTAAACGTTTGCACAAGGTGCACGAACGTAGATTGCTGAACGTCTGTTCCAAATCACTTAGTATTTTCCGATCTGTCTACACAAGCATGCGTAACGGTGTTATCCAATGACCAAGACAGTTGGGATTATCAAAAAGGAACCATAGCCTCACCCACTCTATAACTGTGCAGTTGCTCAACCGTTAAGGTCAGTAGTTAGACAAATGTCCCAACCACCTCAAATAATAAGGTTCCAGTACTTCATATATTGACCCACCATCCCCACGTGGTACTCGTTTCCTAACAACGGCATTGCTTATCCGGTTGCTTCAGGATACATGAACAATGCTCCGAAGAGATCTTAATCGAATAATGATAACCTACAAATATCCTCAACTCTTACCGGCCGTTTCACGGGCCACCAACGAGTGTTTTCTGATGTAGGGATAAGCGGCACAAAACCATGAAGTAACTAACAACCCGGCTGAGTCAAATCCCTATGCATAGACCACCTGGCTGGAGTTCGGGATACGATAGTAACCGATGGTTAGTCTCTGAATGACACGGCCCAGGATCACTTGTAATGGCGCAACCAGTATATCCTAAGATCCAGGTCCTGAAATAACAGAGTTCGTACCCGAGGACACAATCCGCATTCACTTGTTAATCAATATCCCAATTAGGTGTAACGTTAAGTACATCGCCACTCACACAATAAATCAGCCTTTAGAAGTTCAGTTAATGTACGTTAATTCCGCAACTTCAAAGGTAATTTAGGTTGACAATACAGGAAACTCATTGGTATGGAACTTGTGATATCTGCAATGATTGCAGCCATTACGTTACCCTAATTTGCTGATGCTTTTCTACCCGTTCGGCTGTACAAAAACATAGAGTGGGCGACCTACGGACCCACAAAACGAGATACATCCATCACAACGATAACCCACGATGTGTTCCGAGCGACAACAGTCCGCCCATTGGTAGCAGAGGCATTTCTAAAACTAGGGTTTCGAAGTACTTTATGAGGTCCCGAACGCTAATGAGGGCACAGCATCCCACGAAGAATACTTATCTCCCGAAGCGGTACACTCGGCAAACTTAAGTAGAATCAAAATATCGACCACCACCACCCTTACTCAAGAGTGTACACCAGACCAACAACCTTCGCGTTAGACCCCAGTGCAAATCATCCTACTGATATCACTGAATTCTTAGCACTGACTAAAGACTAAGTTCAATCCTGAATTTGAAGAATTTCAAGAGGAGAACGTCCATCTTCTTTATTTCCCTAAGTGTGCCTGGTGGAGCACGAAACCCAAGCGCGACCAGCGGTGGGATTGGGGGCTGAAGACAGAAGACCCGTGACCAAGCACATCGTACCCACACAATCGAAAAGAGGCGAACTTGACGATTTGATTCACTACCACCCCAGGAGAACCCCCAACATCAAATAAGAAACCAAAAAGTACTAGATATAGAATAAACGAAATAATTAAGTCAAAAAAATCATATATACAACTCCAATATAGTGAGGGACTTTGGTAAAATGATCACGGGTTAAAGAAATGTCAAAACGAAATTTCTGTCGAAGCATCTTCAAATGCGTCACCATTTAAAACATCTAAGAGTTCACTCAAGCTTTCTTCTGAATCATAAGAATCTGTCAATCCTGGGATTTCTCCTATCTGATCATCCTGTAGACTATTTAAAATGCTATCATACAAGCAGGGAGAATATGGAATCAGGTCGTCAGAGCAATTGCTGTCTCCAGACTGTTTGGTTTCAGATATATTCTGAGATGATACCTCAACGGTTTGAGCATCAAACAAAGTTGATGATATATCCTCAGGCACATCCTCGATACTGGAGTTCTGGACACACTCCATTTCAGGCCATTGTGGAGGAGGAGAAGTACGGACAAACAGAGAGCCACTCCCTTCTGCAGAGGGAGGAGTTCAGCTGACTCTGGTGGCTCGACCTGATTTCCTGAAAACTTCTCCACATGTTTGATGATACCGTTTAATTTTTCTTGGAGTGCATGGAACTTTTGCTCTTGTTCAATAAACTTGAGACGAAGTATTCGGTTGGAGGATTTGAGATATTCATTTTCCCAACGCAAATGAGCTAGACTTTCCTCCATATTTTCCATCAAATCTTTTTTGCGGTCACGTGCTTTTTGGGCTGCCTCCCGGTTAAGTATTTTTCTGCAACAATAGATCAAATAGAGATACAACCTTACCTCCGTATGGCTTTCTCCTCTTCTGTAAGATTATCCAGACGAGCTCGTTTCCTGTGGGATAAAATGGCAGAAGGATCTGGGTAAGGGAGTGACTTCCGGGTCAAAGCTGATCTATCCCCAGGATAATGCACCCCTCCGACAGTAACAACAACAGGACTCCACATTAGAAAGCAGAAACAAAACCCAAGGCCAGCCGCTAGACAAGTATGGCAGACTTCAATAGTTTCAATATTGACATCACTGAAGCATAAAAAGAAAGCATCTTTTATGTAGATTGTTAAAAGGAAAAAATGACATATTGTCTCTGAATTCTAACAGCTCTTTTTACTTATAGGTAATTTCTTTTGTTTCAGAAGAAAGAATATACCGTTTGATAAGAAAATAACATTTTACAAAGGACAAAATATTAAGTCACGTAGTTTTTAGCAAATATCTGTCCAACGACATTATCTTTTAAAACTGGACCGTCCTTGGATCTCGTAAAATCCTTCTATCAGTGATCCGACCAGTGTCCCTTAGACAGAGGTAATCTTAAGCCCCGAACATATAATGCATCTGGTCTGTGACCTGTTACTGATGTGATCATCCATAACCTCTATGCGAAAAAACACAATCCAATTCTGCTTTTCGCTTTCGAAAAAATCTTGTGAAAATAAGTGGCCTGAATCATGAAGTATGAACTGGTACTGAGATACAGAAATTTTCCAGAAACGGCAACATCGTTTAGAGAATTATTAAATGGTTTAATGATAAAAATTTGAGAAAATGACCTACTTTCACCTCATTAAAGCTCCCGTCAAGTTTCAGAAAAATGGTGTTCTACTGAAACTAAAAGACTCAGGAAATACTGGATGAGAATGATAGGCTTTTCTGTATACTCTGCAGAAGGTTAGAATATTTACAAAATACTCCCATATGACACCTGTTATCAGTTGAGTGCACAAAGCTTACTCGCACACTTGTTAGCTATTTATACATTATGTAACCAATTGGTTTATGACATTAGGTTCCTGTGCTACTCCAAGCTAGTGATGCCAAAATCTGATGATATATATGAGGATATCATTGTACGTACTGACCTTAGACAGAAATAAAGTTTCGGCCTAAATTATGAGAACTGTCAATCGACACAGATGAGTGTGATGATACGCTCATTAAAAACGCTAGTGCGAATATCCACGGCTTAATGAAAGTGAATCCCTTCAGTTCTTTCTGGTAATAATCATCAAGTTATAGCGAATCGAGATAAAATAGTACTTCGCGGGATAACAAATGTTAATCCCTTTAATCTATAAATCAGAGAAAAGACGATTGTAGATGAAGAAGTACATTTATTGCTATTCCCGCGATATTGAAATAATATCGAGGACAGAGGGTACTCAAGTGGCTAACGATCAGGCAGGAGAAGCGCGGAGAGACATAATAGGAATAACACGCTTGGCGTGAGAGAGATTGTCTTTAGTATAGATGAACAAAAGGAGTACAAAATAATAAATATTGTTAGAATTAAGTACCATAATAAATGTTTAAGTTTCAGCAATTGTGTTTTCTTCGCAAACGTATACCACTACAAAGTAATGGTAATTCATCGCATTAAAATCAGGGCCTAGTGATATGGTAAGGTTGAATGGTTTAGACTTTATGGGTGTTTGAACGAATTACTCACCAAGCTGGATACTAGTATGTCCACGACATAGTACTCACTCTTAATGAGACCTTCTCAAGCACACCGTAGTGTCGAAGGAGCCTCCGTAGTGTTGTCCTGTCCACGCTATCAAATGCTTTGTCGTAGTCAATGAAGCTGATGTGGAGTGGTGAGTTCCATCCATTTCTGTCTTCCACAATGATCCCTATGGTTGCAATATGGTCAGTGCACGATCAATCCTCAGTACGGAATCAAGCCTGTTGATCTCGAAGTTGGGCGCATGCGAAGTCTTTCATTCTGATTAATAATTCCCTGCTGAAGACTGCCTGGTACTGAGAGAAGAGCGATGCTTCTGTAATTCTTACAGCTTCTCTGATTGCCTTTATTTGGCATTTCGATGAGGTATCCTTCATTCCAGTCTGTTGCTACTTGCTCTTCCTCCCGAATCCTGTTACAGAGAAGGTAGAATGTTTCTTCAGTTGCTGTGACGTCTGCTTTCACTGCTAAATGATAATGCAACCTTTGGAAAAAGCGGTACTGAGTTTCGGTCCAGGAGGGAATAGTAACTCAGAAATGCAGGTATGTTCGGTTTAGGAGTCCTAGATAGGATCAAACGCACATCCTCAATTCCACTGCTGGCGCCCATCCATTTCTTCGAAGAATGCTTGTAACCGGAAGACAATATCTAGGCGATCTGTGCAAGATAAACATAGGTCAAGGAGATTAATAAATTACAGTCTTAAGCATCTACAGGAACATTTAGACAATCAATACAAATAAATTCATAATCAACATGTTATACGAGCAGATTTTGAAAAAATAATAAAATTCATTTATTCAAGTATCTTTATGTACCACGTTGCGAGTAATATATTTTAATCTGCAGCTTGTGAGATGCTTTCAAAAATAAAATATTTTTTCTACTGTAGTGTGTTGCTTTAATGATTACCACTAAATCTTTCATCACATGATCAATCTTTACTTATTTCTTTCTATGATTAGTTGTATAGGTTACACGATTGTTAATAATGACTTACATATCTACTTGACCAACTTATTGTTTTATGTATAAGTGTATATACACGTAACTGTATTTCAGAGTGGAATGAGAGGTGGATCCAACTTTTAGCCATCTAAATAGAGCCGATGTATCTTATGAAATATTTCAGTGACTGCACACCGTTTTAAAGGAAATATGTTGCCAATCTTAACATTTTGATCTTGCCTGTAAATTGGTATGCCTCTTGTAATATGTTCGTTATTTGAGAATAAATTATTATTATTAGGCAAAAGCAACGATGTTGCTGCTTACTAGGTTTTTACGTACTCAGAAACCCGTGAGTCCGATTAAAGGTTGATGACGATTCATTAACTATCATGTACCTCAAAGACCTTTTAGCAAATTCTTTCAGTTTAACGGACGAAAGAACAGCATAATCTGGGAAAAGTCGAAGGGAAAGCCCAAACGTCCTCAGATTAAACCAATAAAGGATACTTAGATTACCCGAGAGAACAGTACCAAACACCAAAAACCATCCACCATTTATTCATTTAACATCGACAAGTAGGGCTGACGCAGAGTTTGTCCCTGCCTAAACATAAGTAGGGTGTGTGGGTACTGTCGGATATACCACATTCAGAGCACAGCCTCATCTGAGACATCCTAAAGGAATTTCGCGAGACAGTCTTTCGCAGAAACATATATTTGGGCTAGGTTTCCCAGAATGTACGAACACTGATATTGCATTACATCATATTCAAGAGTGGAAGTTCATTAAAATGCTTTTGAATCTGAAAAATTTATTGACCCAACAAGTATGAAGGCTATCCAAAAAGGGCGAGGATTTTAAACCCTAACTACTGAAGATTACTTTCCCTTCTGTCCAAATTGCTGGAGCCACTCTTGAGGTATTTCGATCTCATCAGAATTAACATGCATCTGGTGAGGTCGTATGATGCAAGAATAAAATATCTAATCCAAGTGTTGTTCGTTTTCATGGTTTGCCGATCCTAACTCTTGGCTTATTGCTATTTGGCTAGGGTGTAGAATCCTTTTTGAATGCTTTGTGTTTTGGAAAATCCCTCCATGTTTACATATCTTTGTTATGACATGACGGACCTTTTCTGTTGACATTTTTGGTAATTTATTTGATTCCAATTTGAGATTTTATCATTGTATATTGTTATTCTTTCTATATTTTGTACTTATATTGAAGTTTTTATGTTTGCTTCTGAACTGTACATATGTTGTTTAAATTTGATATAATATGGCTACCGCCACATTTTTGGATTCAACATCGTGCAGTATAGGAGTTCACCTAGACCTCGGAACATTGATACTCGTTCGGAGTAATTCTGAATTGGAAGACGTAATATTCGTTAGGTATTATTTGTATTTCCATTTGTCATTTGTAAATAGACCATTTTCCCCTAGAATTATTGTGTTTTAATTTCAAAATCGGGAAGTGCGTCCAACCTACGTCTATTGGAATCGAATTGAACTGTCACGATAGAGAATTCAACTACATAGGGAAACACTTACGTGTGAGGGCTATCGCATTATCCTCGATCTTAAGTACGCACGAGTTTAGATCATGTTAAGTCACGACTTTCATTACTAATTGGTGTTCATGCAAACGAAGATGTAGAGGGTTCCCACTTTTTTCGATGTTTCGTTTTTAATCATAGGAAGATAATGTTCATCTTCTCTTTTCCTGTTTCATTTTTGGTCAGCATATGATTTGAAGTCATTTCGCTGTTTTATAGGCTATAACCATTAAAATTGGCATAAGTAGTCTTCAAACAGTTTCTGAAATGTTGTTTTGCTAATGATATCGATAAATACTTTTTAAACTTTCGTTGATACATGTCTATTTTAAGTAGTGTTTAAATATTTCCCCCACTTCTTAACACTGTAGACGTGCTATGAATGGATTCAGCTCCTTTGAATAAATTTCGTACGTAGTTATTTTCGTGAATCCTGCAGTTGTTCCTCATATTTGACTACATTATGAAACTTACGTCATTCAATATTTTGTTGCAATTCTTCCTAATCTTGTACGCCTCTGTGAATAATGAACAAAAGTAGTCTTCTGAGCTTTAGTAATCACGATTCAGTCATAGCGAGCATCCTTATAACTCAAAACGTTCCTATGACCTCTGTTTGTGTTTATATTTGTTTAGATATGTCAATGAAAATATAAGAATTAGCATAGGACCTGTGCATTAGTGAACACAATGGTTGAAGAGAATCTGATCAGTGGCAATAAAAAATATTTCAGTCACTTGAATGTCTTACATTACATGAAACTGAAGACTCCTTGCTTTATTAGTTCCTTTAGAATCTACTTGATTTGAATTACTATTTTTGGTCACTGTTTTCCAGCCAATATGTTGAAGCTCACCGTTCATTGATACCGTGAATGACACTGAATGTTTAGTTAAATTTAATTCTGTTGGTTCGGTAACCATTTCCCAAGTTGCGGCCAACCCCTTTATCGTACTAACAAAATCCATTGTCCATTCTTAACAGAAATTATGTATCCGGAACTCCTTCAGAGTGTCCCATCCGATAGTATTACCCATTTTTCTCTGTTTTGGATAAGTTTACTTTCAAATAAGGGTTGCATAACCACGATCTGAAGGCTCTTAGTGTCCTTCGACTATACATTTATCATCTGAATTTAACATTTTAGTGTTTCACTTTTTTGTTGCATGATGCCAGTCCGTTGACAATAAGGTCGCGTTTGACTGACATTAGGGTCGGGGTAAATTTTCTGTTTGTTGTTAATCTGAAGTTATATTCCGGAAACCTAATGTGCTCGGATCGAATTGTGCAGAATGAATGTTTATCCCATTATGTTACTTCACATTATTCCACACAGTTTTTGTCAACATAGTAAGAAATGACTGGGAAACATTTTGTATACTTCCACGGTGAAATCAGTTTGCAGTATGATTAGTCTTGAGAGTTACTCTTTGTTAATCTAGATCAAAAAATCGGAATTTATCACTAGTATAAGAACTTTTTCATTTTCAAATTCTTCATCAAGTGTTCTGAGTGTGTCTTACTCTAATATTTGATCGAATTTCCAGACATGATATTCTAGAGAAACTGTTGTTTAGTTGCAGTCCCATATTCTAATCGCCGCGGGTGTTTTTCAGCTGTAAATCCCGTCCATTTTGTATTTTGACCAATGCAGCTGCCAGGATCCTTAAAACTTTGTCAGCAAACGAGAAATCACGGACAAGTTTTAGATGTTTACACTGAGCTACGATTTTTCTGCTGAAAGTTAGTGTCTATCATAGAGAAATTCAGGAACAAGCAATCCACTGTAACGATTTCACTTTTACGAAGGAAAACACGAAGGCTTAAACAGCAACATTCGTTGTTATAACTAGTTGTACTAATGAACGTTTTATCGGACATTTGTTTATTCATTCGTTTGTACCACGCTGCTCCACTTCGGCGGTCGCCATCTTGCTTTTGCTGCTCTGTACCTTCACCTATTTCTCTAACATGTCCCGGTATTCTTTTGATACCACGAAATTGCCAGGAATACACCTAAGTCATCTTGACTACCCCGACTTTTATCTTTTGATACGAGATTTCGGGATAGCGCTTGGTACTCGAACTTAATTAGTTTATAGACGTGTTCATAGTCCTTCGACTCAAACATCCACACTACTTCAACTAGATGTTTATTCAGCTGGACATCCTTGAACCTGTTTATCTTACGGATTTAAGCTAAATCCTAACAAAAATGGCTGAATTAATGTTGCACTAGTAGATTAATTTTGCTCGTATTCAAATTATTACTAGTGTTTTACGTTTCATCTAATCCGGACAATGACACGTTTTGCAAAGTAACACTAAACAATAATTAGCAATAATTATAAAGCGTCAACTCTCGAACAATTAAACATGTAATAAATTACGTCTGGACGGAATTTATTAGCTTAGAAATAAGAAGAGCCATAACCCCCGAATACCTAAGGAATTATAGCATCACATTTTAATTGCATATCTATCAGAACAGCTAATTGGAAAGAGCGTGCATGCAATGATTAGCCCAGACATAATTCAAGATAAAGTGAATGAGCAGAAAATCTGGAATGATCAGAGCATAAATCTCTTTTTTTATTAGTAAATATACATGCCAGGTCAGATATTTTCTGGATACATGACCGTACAATAACTTCTATATCCAAACAACTTTCGTTCGCATAGAGTCAAAAACGCGTTAATTGACGTGTCATTACACTGGACGTGGAACTGATCGTAAGACGAAGTCATGCATCTCCTATCAATATTGATTTGTAATGAACTGATCCTGTTCACGGGAAATGGCAACACCAAATTTATTAAAACTTAGCAAACCATAGACAGTAGACCTCGGAAATAATTCATTAATTTTATTAAATGTTCCGGTGGTGGGGATTAGCTTACTCAAAAGTGGGACTGTCTCTGATCAAGGAAAGTGCAATGCCTATAGTGAGCAGTACCCTAATCAAACGAAGCCGTCTATTTAACTGTCAGAACTTGGCTAAATGAAAACGCTTTCTTTGAGATTAACTTTAGATGCAATGAATGTTGCCGAAGAAATCCTTCTAACACCCCAAAGGCCTTCGATTAAACTGGCGATAGATTCATGTTGCACAGTCTTTCACACTACAACGGAGATTGGCGTTTCCAGGCTGCCTCTCTCGTTACATTTCACGAATATAAAGTTTCCGTGTCTGATTTCTATAAACTTCAGAAACTGGGAAGACCTAACTGAATAGTCTCAGGTTTGGTGCGGCACGAAAGGTGATCGCTCTAGTCACACTGGATGCTGTGAGAGTCTACCTATGTTAGTGAGACACCGACATTGAGGCCAAATTAGTACACACGCCAATTTCGGTTGAATTCGATCCACAAGCCACGGTTCAAGACACGAAGATTACCGTCTCAGCGATCGAATACACCAGACAAGCAAAAAACCTGCACCTGCCAGTTCCCACGGAACTTGGCAACTCCATTTGAAGGAACCGTATAAAAACCCGACATCGGTTGTTGTCGCAGGGGTGAACTGGGTGATTGGACTAACCACCAAAATAATTTAAACCAGTGTAAGATGTCTGAGTGGTAAAGAGATCAGAAACATGAGATCTCAGACTGATCTGTAGACCATAATCCTGACTGAGACACGGCTATTCACCGAGACTGCAGACGAAGTGAGCTTGTAAGGCGTGATACTCTTTAGGTGAGATAGGGTACAGAAAATATGCCGAGTGGCAATTTCAAAGCCGTAACACCACACGGCACTCAACAAACCGACGAAATCATGCTAGTGTTGCTTCGACACCAGTTGCACGAAATACTTGATTGAAGGAATTTACTATTCTCGCCCATTTACTAAGGCCCAGAAAGAGAGACTTGCTAGCTTTGATTATTGCCATCTCCTCAGACCACTAACTTAATCTATCCTGCTTATTATCGCTGTTTCCTCCCTCTTTCTTACACTTCGGTCCTCTCACGCAATCTTCACTACCAATTAATAAACCTAATTTGTCATTTATTTTCTTAGTTCTGGAACCTTCTCATTAGCATGAAACGTTTCTGCTTACTATTCTCCACACTGCAACTAACTAATCCCCGGTCTGGTAATGTGATAGCTTCTGGTATCCAGAAACCATACTCTCCTGAAACAAACGTTTCCATTCAAACCACAGGACTTACAAAATCACAAAGAACTGACAACTGATTAGCATTAGTGCAGTCGAATGGCTAGACCCTCATCCATTGGACATTACCAAATACCTACAACCGTACCGAAAGAACAAGAATCGAGTGCGAAAAAATCAACTAATTTATGATAGGTCGTGATACCGATGTTAGATATTGGAACCAATTTGACCTGTTGTCCAGCATTCAAATGTATGCGTTACCTGTTACTTCTCAGTAAGGTCGGATGAAAATCAAGGTGTGTTTGTGTGATTCTGTTGCTTACCACTGTCGAAATAGCATCATCTTTTTAGCTGTGATTTCAAATGATGTACATCAGCAAGATAGTGTTTCATTGACTTCTTTTTCGTTGCCTGGTGAGTCAACTTAGAGGTTCGAGAGGTTCGACGTAAAACTTCATCTTTCATTTAAAAATCTACACTACTTAATTACCTCCTGGTTGTCTGTGAGACTTAGTATTATCAAAACATCTGCATAAAACCAGTAAGAATAACTTATTTGGTAATACTGCTCCTGGTACCTAATAGAAACTGACCGTGTTTTTGTTATTTAGTGCTCCTAGTCTTGCTTCTAGAAGTGGTATATTTTTACTCGCAGTGTTCTCCGTCTTGTGTAGGAGATCTTCACTCATTGTGCCCGGATAAGGTTTATCAGAGGGATATGTACTTGACTGTCCTAAATATCACTCAAAATCAGTCAAATTTTCATAGACAACTTAAGTATCCAGTATTGTATTGTTCTTTATGTTTTACTGTTTCTCAACTTCATGCTGTCGATGTTAGTTATAACTTTGTTATTCTAACTAATGATCTTGTCTACTACCCCACTCACTTGTGTAGATTATAGTAGATATATGTTTTCTTAGACTCACACAGTGCAGTATGACAACAGTGTAACCTCAGTATGTATATGGAGTGGAACAGCATTTTGGTTTTCCTAGCAGAATCTAGTACTTTATCGTATCCCGTCGAACCCGGTTAATTCAAAATCCTTTGGTACGACCAAGAGTAGGAAGAGTATGCCCCTCATCATGCACTCATATATTTTTTGCCAGAGGAGTCCTGCTCACTGCTTTTCGATGCGATGGTTTTGTTGTTTACCAAGTTGATAGGACAAAAAAAATGAGTGTCCAGGGCTTAAGCCGATTATGAAAGATCCACCTAAGGGAGTCAAAAGGCGCTGGTAGTAAACCAGTGATGGAAAAAGACCCCAGTACCATGAAGAAACATGACATGTTAACTTATTCTAGGTCACTGCTTATCACAAGACCCAGTATCCTAGGATCGCTCCACTGCTTTGTGGAATAAACTTCTAGGTCAAAAAATCGAGTATCGGTCCCTTAAGGAGACCACGTGCTTCGGTCTGGGTATCCAGACAGTATCTCAGCCCTAAGAAATTTAATGATAAACAAAACTCGAAAGAATTGTGCCCACTCCAATCATTCTCATAAATTATATTCAAAACTATCCAGTAATATTCGCTTTCATCTTACTTTGCGTCACTTGTGTACTCTCTCTTATTCCCATTTTGTGTATTCCTTTATTTTTTAACTCATATGGCTCGTTTATGGTGGGAATTCCATCCTATCTAAACGATCCCAATTCACTGACTGGTCGACGGTTTAGTGATATAACTTCCGAACCAGCCTATCTAAAACCCTGTATGCCATTCACACTGGTCTCCGCTATTCGCTCACTAACACATACCGGACAAAAAATAGGGTTAGCTATGTTTCTAGAAAAACCTTGTATCGATATCTCTTGTCTATTCGAAGCTCGTATTTAAGACCCTAATGAAGAACTACAAGTTCGTTTTCCATCTGTCTCCTCGAAAAGCTTATTTTGCATGCGTTTATCCGAGAGTGTGGCATTTTCGTCTGGTTTTACTGTCGTTGGTGTCTCACTAAGTGCTATAGTTGAAACAGGTTTAATCAACCGAATCCCTGTCAACCGTTGATTATGCACTTTGATTGGAGGATTCCATCAAAATGAGGAATCAGTATGAGAAACGATGTCGTTTCGTCGTCTCCGCCTACGCTCTGATAGACTGCAGTCCGGATGCAATTAAGGACCACTTGAGTGGTCGCCAGAGAGCACATCCAGTCGGAGACTTGGATGAGCATTCGGGGATCTAGACACAAAAAAGAGTCGTCTAGATGGCTGATGGGGAATTGTTGGATATAGGTCAGATATTAGTGACAGTCTACTGCAGCTTATCTGAACTCTGATCAAGTCTTTGTTCGCTCCAATCTAATCTTACGTTTTAGTTGCCAACAAACTCATCGTTCAAAACAGATCAGTGTTAGCGACTCTGCTGAATCTTCTCTTGTAACTAAATATCTAATCGAGCTAGGTTCAAGGCTAGCTATCGACCCACTAAATATTGTAAATGAGTACTGGTTACGTTCGTAGGGCACAAAATGGAGAGTTAAGTCGTTTGTTGCTTCGCGAAATATCCGGTCTATAGATACTGCGTTCCTACAGGCTCCTTAAAACTCCTTGAAGCACGTTGGTCAACTCTGGCAAACCGCAAGTTAGAAGATAAACATAAATCAATTAATCAACAGCAACGTAGAACTTTGTACGTACGTACATCAGTTCGAGTTCAGTCAGTCAGTCAGTTGCAACGTAGAACTTCGTACGTATGTACATAAGTTCATGTTGCCATACCACATTATTAGCACAGAGACGCAAACGTCAAATCAAATCCCATAGTGATAAAGATAGTAGAGGTATTAATGTTAATAAAGAAGACTAGGGTTCGAAGATATTATTCAAAAAATATAATTCAGTGAGATAAGGTTAGAAAGACAAAGGTAGAGGTGCTGGCTAATCCAGAAGATTAGGATTTGAGAGAGCTCAAAGAGTGGATGCACCTGCGCCATTGCAAACGATTTTGAGCCATGTCGTTCAAGGTCTCTAGCCATTGATGACTTTCGTCTCGCGGACCCCAACCAGGTAGTTTACATCTACCAACATGACTCAGTCCACTTGTCAGTGACTTCATCGATTTCTGCCATGTTTTGGTCTGGCCGCCCCTAACTTTCTTCCAACCTACTCCTACACCACAAAACATAGCTCGTCGAGGCAGTCGGTGGTTAGGCATACGTAACACATGTCCCAACCACCTCAACTGATGAAGTTTCACTAATTCATCTATTGATCTGCCATCCTTACCTAGTACCCGTTTCCTAACGACAGCATTGCTTACTCGGGTGTCCCACGATGTACGAGCAATGCTTCGAAGACATCTATGATCGAAAACCAATAACCGACGAGTATCTTCTACTCTCATTGGCCATGTTTCACAGCCATAAAGTAAGACGGAGCGAACCACTGCGCAGTACACTCGTCCTTTAGTCAGCCAACGGATATATCGCCTACGCCATAAGTGACTCAGGTTGGCAAAGGCCAATCGAGCTTTCTGTATCCGAGCTGAGATTTCGTCAGTCACCAGACCGTCAGCACTGATGAGACTCCCCAGATAAGTGAAGCGATCAACACGCTCGACTACTTCACTCCCTATCACTAGTTCAGGTGCCGGTGAAACCCAATCTTGAAGCAACATTTTGCATTTCGAGGGGGAAAACCGCATCCCGAACATGCTTGCATTGTTGCTTAGGGTAGTCAGAAGACTCTGCATTTTGTCAGCGTCTTCACCAAGTAGGACAACGTCATCGGCATATTCTAAGTCAATAAGCGAGCCAGCAGGTCAAAGGTCTACTCCCGAAAATTCAGACGAGGATAAGGTTATTTCTAGGAGCATGTCTATGATAAAATTAAACAAGAATGGAGAAAGTGGACATCCCTGACGGACACCACTTGATGTAGAGAATTCCGGTGACAGTTCGCCATAAGCTCTCACTCGACCAGTGGTGTTTGAGTAGAGAGCTTGTATGAGGTTAATGTACTTATTTGGTACACCTTTCAATGACAGACACTGCCACAGAACCTCACGATCAACAGAGTCAAATGCCGCCTTAAGATCTAGGAAAACAACTATTGTAGGACGCCTAAATGTGTGTCTATGTTCCAGGACCTGTCTGAGTGTGAAGACGTGGTCTATACAGCCACGTCCAGGTCGAAAACCAGATTGGTTTTCTCGAGTCTGCTCTTCACGAGCTTTCGTTAAGCGTCGAAGTATTATTGAGGCCAGTATTTTAGATACTATATTTGTTAGACTTATTTCCCTGTGATTGTCACAAGAAGACTTTTGTCCTTTCTTATAGATTGGGACAATCAGTGATTGAGACCAGTCGGATGGGATTGCGTCCAGTTCCCAGATTCTACCTAAGATCTCAGTCAACCTAGCTGCTAAAACTAGACCACCATCCTTAAATATCTCAGGGGTCAGTCTATCAGGACCTGCAGCTCGTCCTCTTTTCATATTTCCTAACGCTTTCTCAACGTCATTAAGACTAGGGGGACTTAGGTCGATTTGCCATTCAAGATGACTGGAGATCGTGGGTAACCGAAGAGTGGCTCGTGGCCAGTTGAACTGATCCCTAAAGTGTTCTGCCCATCGATCCAGTCTCCTGGATTGAGAATGGATAATAAGACCATCCTTTTCCGAGATAGTCTCACTCACATTTGGGTTCTTAATACCAGTTTCTTTAATGAGGCGGGAAAGTTGTCTACTGTTGCTTATCGCCGCTGCCTTTTCCATCGCTTTTGCTTTCGCCACCCACCACTGTTCGCGGTCGTTACGCAGACTTTTTATGAGTCTGCGCCTAAGCTGACTACGCTCTTCATCAAGCTCAGAGTCAGGTGGGATGCGTTTTCGAGCATCCATCAGTTCGGTGGATGCTGTTGAGATCCACGGTTTCATCCTAGCCTCATGGTTTACCTTCCTAGCAGATATCACTGCTGTTTCCACAGCCTTTTTGATATCATACCAACCTGCTTCTGGATGGGAATCGCTTGCATAGTTGCTTAACTCTCTTTCTAGTTGCTCCTGAAATATTTTCTTAGTTTGATTATCATTAAGTAAAACCCTAAGAGGCTTTCTTACGGTGTCTTTCCTACGTCCAGTAAGCCTTAAACAGATACGAGCTCGCACTAGAGCATGATCTGAATCCGAACATGTGCTCCAGAACGAGCGACAGTCTTCTATCGAACCCCTCCATCGGTGGCTGATGGCGATATGATCTAGTTGAGTCCAACGTTGAGACGACTTCGGGGGTCGCCAGGTCAACAGATGCTTTTCCTTATGCCTAAAGTTGGTGTTCGCTAAGAATAGGCGGTTATCTGAGCATAGTTGCAACAGACGGTCGCCATTGTCTGTTCTCTCAGTCGCTACACCATAACATCCACCAAGATGTCTTTCCTTTTCACCTAGTCTACCTACTTGAGCATTAAAGTCACCAGCCATTATTACTACATCAGAGCGCCTAGCTTTTTGGAGAAGGTCCGAAAGCTTTCTGTAAAACTCATCTTTAACCTCGTCTGAACTGCAGTCAGTGGGGGCATAGGCAGATATAACGAAGAGGCAACGGCGAGTGTCCCTATCCTTTCGAGTCCTTACTGTCCCGTTTAGTCGGACAGCGCACAATCGACTATCTACTGGGATCCAGTCAAGGAGAGATTGTTCAGCCCTACGACTCAATGCTATGCCTACGCCAGCAAGACCCCTGGAAGCAGCATCAGGGCTACCGGATACACGAAGAGTAAATCGTGCTGCTTCTTCGTTTTGACAAGGTGGAATCAGGTTAATGACTTTACTAGGATCCTGTATGCGCGTTTCCGAGACGCAGCATACATCGATGGCACGAGTTTCTAAAGTCCTAGCTAATGATGCCTGTTGCCCTATTTGACACAATGTCCGTACATTAAAAGCTCCAACATGTAGTCTAGAACTGGGTTTCAAGAGACCAGGAACGACGTTTAGTGATCTCGCTTCATCTGCATTAGCGGTGCAGTGAGAAAAGGGAGTGTGAGTAGAGTTAGTCGTAGAGATAAGAGAGACATTAGGGGGTGTAGGAAGGATTTGATTTTGATCAATTTGGTCTCGCGTGCTGTTACGGGTATGAGGGCGGTTGTCACTTCCCGGCTGCCCACACCGTGGAAGGTTGTTTCTTGACGAACCTGAAAAGAAAGATGGATTAGTGTTGGTGCGTGACCGCACAGCCCAAGGGACAACTGCTTGAGGCCGGTCACGCACGGCCTTTTTATGAAAGGTATTTAGAGGATTAGCTCCGTTCTTAAAGGCCCTTAGTGGGCACCCTTACCCAAGGAGACGGAAATCCGTGAGTTAGGGGAGGTGTGACATTTTTAGGGCCGACCTTTTCTAACCCTTCCTTCCTTGTGAGAAGGCAGCATCGCTGCAGATGCTGGTTGTCCGAGGGAAACATCTTACTGCTGTCACACCCGTCTGCAGTCAGCAGTACGACGTCGCCCTCAGACCTTGGGTAGCTGCTTTTAGTCTCATCGTTCTCCAATCGACCAGCCTGGCATGGTAGGACCTGCAGGAACATATGTTCCAGCCAGTATAGCTCGGTTGGGTCATCACGATAGGCAAGCCCGACCACCACGTCAAGGTAGCAGCTTCGGTCGGGATAACTTTCATGTGCTTTCATATGTGTGGAATAAACCCCTTTCTGGTTGTATTCTTCTTTGCTGAAGTGTTTTCTTTATTATCTTTTCTTCATTTTCTTTCACTGACTACCCGGAAGAGTGATGTTATCTGGTGTAGTAGACTGGAAGAGAGGTAAGGGCGCCCAGACCAGAACATGGCATTAATCCACGAAGCTATTGAAAACTAAACTGGGCCATTCAAATAGGTGTGGACCTCCTAGTTGAAGTCAGTGTGATAATCTTAGCTAGTGTTTAGAGATTTGCAATGACATCTCAATGGCACAGGTGCATCTACTCTTTGTCCTCCCTTAGATTCTAAGTTTCTGAATCCATCATAATTTGTTTTATTTCAGTGATTTATATTTCCTTGGATCTCTTGTCTTTTCCATTACCACTGATCATGCTACTACCTCTACTAATCTGGGATTTAGCCTAACAACAACATTTTAACGTTGATGGGGCTTGGCAGCCCGAAACACTGCGTATGTACTAAGTTCTATGTTGCAACTGATTGACACTAATTTCTATTCATTTCTGTTCTTTCTGTTATTATACTCACGTTCCTTTCTTCTCACTTTTATTTTTTTTTACATGGTGGATATGTATTTTAGTTCTTCTCTGTACCACTGTTTATAGCTTTGTAAGTTGTACATCGTTTTTGTTACTTTCTCTATGTAAACCTCTCTTTGCGGTAAGTCATAGCTGTAAGTAGGGGTCAGAGTGGTTAAACTAGGAAACTTGATCGTTTCACAAAACATCTGACTGCTGATATAGTCCTTGCTAGATTGAAACTAAGTTATTCAATTTCTAAAAATCAATAACTGGAAACTCAGCAACAACTCTATATATTCAAAGGCACAGAATATACACATTAGATTGTAATTATTCACTTCTTACACATTGGCTGATCCCATTGTTAGTTTGTTCATTTCTTGTTTACTTCTATCTCTGTGATATTACAAAAACAGCTTATTAAACAAAACATACTGATACGTCTCTACAGATAGACAAACTTTCTGCCATTTCTTTCCTCATGACGTTTTCTAATTCTGTTATAGGGACCTCCACTTTCAAGAAAATGTCAGATAATTGAACTTTCAAATGATGGGGCTACATGTTCACATGGTTCTATGTTAAAAATAGTTGATCAAGTCTCTCATTCGTTTCATCATGCTTGTTCAGCATTTCGTAACAAAGGTGAATGTGAGAAACAACACCTCTATCAGAATAGTACCACAAGAAATTGGTCGTTGGAGGGTATTCTGAGGATAAGTCAGTCAGACAGAGCCTATTGTTACACTTGTGATTGTTTGTTTTCGTTATCACTTAGTGGACAAAAGCATGAGGCGCACGAATATAAAAAAAATCTATCAAATAATTTGTTAGGAATGCCATCATACTTACTAAAGCCACTGAAAGATTCCAAGGCTCATGCAGTACGTCTTGTATTTTACTTACGCGCTAGCTATCTAGCAATATTTTTTCTCTCTAGATTGTTTAAATCAACTGTACTCCATTATTCAAAAACTGTCAGTCAACTATGTCATCTGTATTGGTTCACCACGTTTACATGATTTCATACAACTTCATCGCATACATAAAGGACAGTTATTGGACTCATATTTATTAGATATGGACTTTCGACTAGTAAGTGTTTATTTCTTTCCAAATTTCTGCAGTCTAGCTTCTATAGTTCACATCGTTTTTCACGGTTCAATATGGTAAATGGATTTTTCTTCGGTGAAAATGAGGAGGGAAATTTTCACAATTTCATCAAGGATCATGTAAAGCCTAGTGATAAATGCTTGATATTTTGTGACCCTCCATTCGCTTCACCATTGTCATTAATTATGAAACAGATCAGAACCTTGAGCAAATCAATCATACAATGTATTTCAAATTTCCAAAGTACTGTGCAAAATACAATAATGACACACATTTAGTTACTGAAAACAACTGCGCTAGTTTAGATGAAAATCATATTCCTTATTTGCTAGCTCTTCCATTTTTCTTTGAGAAAAAGCTTCAGAAGATTGCTCCATTCTTGAACTTACTGGATTATAAAGTAATCAGCAATGTTATTAGTTTCTAATATTACTGCTCATAAAGATCACTTATGAAAATCACTCCCGATTGGATTGTGATATTACCGACAATGGGGACCACGGGGATGCAAATAATAGAACTGGTGACAGTTCAAATAGAGGACAGAGGCGCGACTCGATTGTACGCTTATTCACAAGTTTACCACCTTCTTTGGTACACCCGCCTAAAGCGATGGAGAAATATTTCAGGTATATTTTAGTTATTTAGTGTATATGGATTAAATATAATGTGTTGCGTTGTTAATTTTCAAGAGTGCAGAGTAGATAATCTAAATGTTTCATTTGACGTTGCTACACTGAATAAAAAGTAGGAAAATTGCGTACTAACTTTCCGTTTCAATATAAACAGACAAAATAAAACCTATCACAAATAAATGTCGTCTTAAGTCATTAAGTTGTAGGAAACAAGCTAGTAGAACAAACATGCTCATTTTTGTTAGTGTCACACTACATCAACTTGGTCGTCGCTCTGCCTTTTTCATTTAGGTGTCCCTGTGGCACTGCTAGCTCTCACGCAAAGTTAATTAAGCTTGTACAGGCTCTCTAGTTGGACACATAGCTGATGGAGTCAGAGCTTTTGGGGAGCTATTATCAAGGTTAAATACTTCACGTGGTGTTCGTCAGGGTTGTTAGTTTCCTCAATCTTATTTAAGTTTGTCGCTGGCATACATTTCGAGATGATTATTTCATCTTCAGATGCTTAAAGAGTTGACGTTTTGCCAAGAGATTGACTTATCGACTCAGAGTATTTCGGTGACATGGTTCATCTTGGTGAAGACGTTGATAAAATGCAGTTTTTCGACTACCTTAAACAACGATGCTAGTTTGTTCGGAATGCAATTCTCCTTCTCCAAGTGCGGAATGTTGCTTGAGGATTGGATTGCGTCAACATTTAAACTGGTGATAGGGAGTGAAGTAGTTGAGCGTGTCGACTGCTCCATTCATCTTGAGAGTCTCATCAGTCCTAATCGCTCGATTGGCCTTTACCAACTTGCCTCACTTGTAGCTTCAGGCGAGATATCTGTCTATGTATGAAACAAAGAACGAGTCTAATGTTCGGCAATTCGCTCCATCCTATTCTACGGATGTGACACATGACCAGTTAGAGTGGAGGATATTCGTAGGATGCTAATAATCAATCGTAGGTGTCTTCAAAGCACTGCTCGTATATCCTGGGACCATCGAGTAATCAACACTGTGGTTATGAAAAGGGTACTAGGTAAGGATGACAGGTCAGTTGATGAAGTAGTGAATGTTCGTCAGTTGAGGTGGTTGTGACATGCGTTGCATGTGTATAAACACCGGTGAACTCAACGAGTGATGTTTTATGATGTAAGTGTATGCTGGAAGACAGCTATGAGTGGGCAATGGAAGACATGTCACCAGTCCATAAAATCATTGACAATCGGACTGAGCCATGTTGGTGGGTGTAGACTAGCAAGTTGGTGTCCAGGAGACAATGGTAGCCGATGGTTAGAGACTTTGGTTGACAGCTAAAAATTGTTTGCAATGGCGTAGGTGCATCCTCTCTTTGTCTTCTCTCAGGTTCTTATCTTCTGAATTCGTCATACCCGGTTTTTATTTCTAAATTCATTTCGCTGGATTGCATAATTTGTTTGAACACTAATCTTCCCCATTACCACTAATGTTCCTAATACCTATAATACGATTAGATTTGAACTGACAATTATATGTGTGTTAGTGTAGTATGGTGGCTCTAACTGATGTAGGTATGTACGAAATTCTACGTTGTACCTGACTGACTGAATAATAGTACACTACTCCATTTACTTTCGAGATAAATATTACCGCTTTAATTTAACAATGAATTACATATAAGTCTTAAAATGTGATTGATATATTTCTTACCCGTTCCAAAATCTGTTTCGTGCTCCAAGATTTTCTTCTTCCGAACTCCAGTTAGTCGTCCTACTTTTATTGAACCTAAAATAGTATAAATTACACTAACTAACGTAGGTTATTTTTGGTCTCCATTGAAAGATTTCTGTTCATTCTTATGAACATTAACCATCAGCATTTTGAACCGTGCAACTAAAATTCAATGTCAGTACATATATATCAGTGGAGAAATAATCAAATGTCCTCTCTCAGACCGTAATGTTTCCTTATGAGTTTAGTTTCAGTATTAGTCGATGCATGCACCATGACTTGCCAGTATAGAGAAAACTGATAATCTAATACATCGTAACATTAAATGCTGTGTTGTTATAAATTCATATTATCGTTTCAAATATTTGGATTTCTTTTTGATATTAAGGTTTTGTGAAATTTGCCAACGTTACTCGCACATCTTAAATCTACACTGTCCTAAATGTGATCGTTGCACAACTAAAGTGAGTTTTATCTAAGAACACCTTGTACTATATTACCGTAAATAATATCTAAATAACATTTTAATGACCTGGTAATATTTAAGCATCTGAATAACTATGCACATTCGTCACTACTTTTTTGAGGTTAATAGACCCTAAATAGTTTAATGGTTATATTTTTTTATGCTGTGTTTTAAAAACTGTCTATAATCTTTACTTTTTCCATACCACTTGTTGTAATCATAATTTCTTTCACTACAGTATTAATGTTATAAATCTGATATTTAATGTCACTGTCCAACCCTTTATAAATAGTTGTCTGGTATTATCGAATAGCTAAGCGTTGGATTAGTGGATAAGCACTTATGTTTCATCCACAATGTTCTAGGTGTGAACCCTACTCCACCTACTTCAATTTGGGTGGTTATTTATTTAGTTCTCAAATGACATAGTTCATTTTCCATTCGGATATATTGATTGTACATCATTATACTGTATGTGATATCACTCTAGTTTTCAGTCGTGTCGTTTTTATAACAGTAGCTAATGTTTTTCAAGTGTTTGACGGTATAATTCATCTCAATTTCAAAATAAAAAAAATTAACAAATATTGTCTAACTATTTTGTGTTAATTTTCCCTATTTCAATATTCCAATTTAGAGTGGACCAACGTATGTGCACTGTGATAAATGTGGTCGTTGTAGGCCTGCAAAGAAATTTCATTGTAATAAATGTAAACATTGTGTATCAGTCAACCAATGCGTTCATCGTTTCAAGCGTAAAAAGCTTCATTCTAGTACACCTGATTATTGTTAATTTTTATAGTAAATTTTATTCAATAAAATATTTTTTACTTTAATATATTTAGTTTTTCTTTATGAAGATTTATGATTATGTTTGATTTTACTAATCATTTATGTTAATATACATTTTTACATGAATTGATTGCGCCAGTTTATTATAATTGATAAGGATTTGTTGTCATTGTTATTTTCCTATATCATTGTGATTAATGTGCAGTAAAAATTGAATTACAATTATATGTTTACAAGAATGATTGAATTCATGTTTTATCTTCGAATCGGATAATAGCTGTCTTTCATATTGTCGTTTTTTTATTGACGTCGAAATGTTCCTTGGTGAATTTTTACGACAATGTTTAGTCACAACCAAAATAATATATCAGAACTGATGGTGGATATATTTCACTTAACCATAAAATAATTCATGCTAATTTATGTGAAATCTGCCTTTAATTAACCGTGTAAACTGTTTCGTAAGCTATGAAATGTTTTTTTTTTTTGTAAATTTCTATATATACAAAGTTGTGAAGTTTTTTTTCTTCTGTGGAATGGTTCTTCAATTATTATATAGTGACTATATTTACTTTGTAAAAAATTATTATCTTCAAGAAAGAAGTCTTTATTAAACTGTATGCAATTTCAAGTATAACTCGATTATCTTCTAAATATCATTTTCTTATCTTTACGTGTAACATTATAAAAATCTTCACATTATTGGTTGAGTGTTTGTGTATTTAATTAGTTGATTCTTATCTTAGTAGCATACCTTTTAGGTGATTTCATTAATCATCTATTTAGTGTACGATAGTATTAGTAATGTAATCACTGGTTAGAATATTGTTTTACAACATTTTACATCCTCAAGTGAAGTCTTATGAAAGAGCTGAAAACACTTGTGGTACGTTTCATTATGTGTGATGTCTAGAAAGCGATCACAGGAAAACTACTGGTTTGACGTATTTTATCTAGAATATAAGCAGGAATTTCATTATCATCCTATATGCTTCCGTTTCACACATTCCCAAGAAAATATTTTATTTCTCAGTTGCATTCTTATATTAGTTATTAATCGTTGATTTCCATTCAATGCAAGCACTTAAATAGGTTTGATTCACCATATCAAAGATGTTAAGATATTACGGTACAGTTCATGTAAATAAAATTATATAGCTTTTTTACTTCAAATATTATGCTATCTGATTGTGATAACCTTAGCCTTTGACCAATGCCACTTGACGATCAAACTCCAATAATTTTCAGTCATTAGCTAAGTTCCTATTGGTTCACAATTCCTTCCATACTCTGGCCGTTGCGTCCAAAGGCTCACTACTAGTCTCCACCATAGAAATTACGTAGTTCGAACATACATACATGGTTTTTGTAAGGACATACTTGATTATATCGTATAAATAAAAAAAGTAACAGGTATACGTGAATGAACTGCAAAGTGACTTTGAGTAAGGGAGACATTAAATAATAAACTGGCAACAAAATCGGAACAGTCAATCATGTGATGATGGCTTATAGGTTAATGGAAAGCTTATGTTAGAATGAATATATAACTTGACACTCTAGCTGCTTAATAATCCATCAATCGATTCTAAGAGTTATCATCTCTTCAATTTCTATTGGGAACACGTTAACTACTAAACCGACTGTTTCACTTGACAGCGTAGATTCCGCGGTTTACTAAGCTTTGATTTTAGTTCACACATTTACTTTTCATCCATGTCTTGTCAAAAAGTTAAATCAATCAACTCAGTTGTATTTTCTATTTTTTTTTTTTAAATTTGTTTTTGTAGGTTCTCGTATCCAACATCTTCCATGGGATCCCTGCACTTTAGATTTAAAAGAAAAAGAAAACCGGATTGGATTGTTTTTTATTCATTTTAATTATTTTTTAAATTGAATAATTTTTTTTCTTTCTGATTTGTATGGTTTTTTCGCTGGTATTTTACTAATTTTCAATGATGAATGAGTTTTGCTAAATTTACATAATGATGTTAACAAATTTTAATGGTACTTATTATCTTAAATATTTTCTTATATGTTTAATTATTTTTTCCATCATAATTATTTATCATAACAATTTTACTTCATTGCATAATTTGATTGTTATTTCAAATCAAATATTTACAAAAGAATTTCAACAAACTTATTATTATCATCATTATTATCAATTACCTTCGTTAAGGAATAAACATTGTACATATTCTACATGTTTTAATATTCATAATTGTATTCATGAACTTGTTCATAAATCATTGCATACTATTAGAATTTATGTTTATCCTATAGAAAATAATTCATTATTTACAAGTTTTAGTGAACAATTTATTACTTTATATAATACTATCTTATCTAGTAAATATTATGTAAATCGCATTGAACAAGCATGTATCATTGTGCCAGGGCTAGATTTATTATATGCTTATTCGGATGACAATCAAATGATCGATTTATCTATGCGTTATTTACATCATTTACCAAGGTTTGTCTCTATTTTATTGATCAATTTATCATTGTATGTAAAATAAAATATATTTTAAAATTAAAGTTTAACTAATATCAACGTGTCGTTGTGCCAAACTTCTGATACAAGCTTCTTCAGGGAGATAATCAAAATGTATTTGCATTGAGTTGATTGTTGTGGTGTTTCCTTCTCTGAGTTGAATGTTTCGTTTGTGGAGCTTTTGTTGTTCTTCTGAACAACATCATCAGCACAAACTCCGGATAGGAGTGAAGTATTCGAATTTCTCCACGTTTGACCTGTAGCTTGTTCTGTTAACCTTGATCTTGATTGGTTGCTGTTGACCTTAAATTTGTCGGTGTTTACACCTTTGTTCTGATTGTATCCCCATTTTGATCTGTTTCTTGATCCTACGTTGCCTATGATCTTTCTGATTGGTCGATGTGTTTGTTGATTGCTGATTGACCTGGGTGCTAAGCTTCTAAAAATTCTCTAGTTTTGTGCTCCCCCTACCCAGTATTTCCACATTGTTCCAATCGAATGTATGCCCATAATTGTCCGTGTGTGTTGATATAAGCAAAGAATTGTCGTGGCGTTTGACTGCTTGAGTTTATCGATTGCACCAAATCTTGTGTTCACTATAATCCCGCTAATATTTCAGTTTCAGCAACTGGATCCGGATCATAATAGAACAGATTTTGTTTATTTCTCTGAAGAATCTTTGGACGATACATAAGAATTATTTGGATTTCAGTCACTGGGATTATATCATGTGTGCCAAATTTTTGTCAAATTATTCGTTCAAATTTTGATAAATATCCATATAAATCATCATTTTTATGTCTTTATTTCGTTTTTATTTTTCATTCAAGTTGGAATGAAGGGAAAAATCATTTAATTGTGAATTTCCTATCAAATGAAAAATTGCAGAATTCTGCTTCAGCTATTGTTGCCAGTGCTAGTCATACCAGTTTAACATTCAGACCAAAATTTGATATTGTTCTACCTGCATTTAATCCATTCACTGTTGTAGTGAATCAAGGTATTTATGAAAGGTAATATCAACATTGAATAAATTATTCTTTCTTTATGTAACTTAAAAGTGTAGTGTTTTTTATAGCATTTTGTTTTTTACAAACACTTAAAGTGTTGTGCAAATATTTTGCTGTTGCTTTCTCATGGAATTCAATATGTGTCGATTATTTGAGGACAGTTATGAACTTTAAAATCGCACTGTTTGAGTTTCTTGTTTCTTGATTTGACACTACTCAGAATGTTATAGATATACCTCGCTAAGTTCCATCAGATATCAATGATTCTCGCATTCTGAATGACTAATTTTCAAAAATACATCAAAAATATTCGTTAAATAAAGTTTAATGAAGATGATCAGCTGCAGTTCGTATCGTGGACGATTATTATGATTGATCATTACTGATCACATACAACAAGTGATATTTTACGGTGAACATTTGCTTGCTCCTTTAGTTAGTTTATTATAATCTATTTTTACAAGTGGAATTTTCCTCTCTCGCTTGTTTATTCGCCAGAATTTTGTTGTGGGCCTAGTTTTCCTCAACTGCTACCTAATCATAACACGTATTACTTAACTGAGAAAAACATCAAGATATTGATTTTTTATTGATTCTAGAGTAACAGTTAGTGTTATCTGATCATTGAAAGCTTAATTTTATCGGCAAGATTTGAAATGCTTTCATTTCTCAATAACACAGTATATAGAGCTGATTATGTCGGCCGCCTTAAGCAAAATATACTAATCCTATATAATAAAAACAGACCATAGTTTTCAAACTTCTCCAAAGAATTGTTACTTTAATGCTACATTTATAAATTAAATTATTTTTTTTGTTTGTCTTTATCTGTAATCTTTGCTTTTCATTATTTCTTATTTTTCTTGTTAAAAAAAACTCCCATTAGACGTACTATATTTTTGATAGTTTTCCAGTCTACCGATGAGAAATTCATCAACCAAGTGCAATATCTTTTATTAGATTCTCGTACATTCAATTCAAATTCACAACAAACTATACTTGTCCTAGATTATTCATCAAATCAATCTAATACAACCTATAATCAACGTTTTGCACTAGTATCTGAATCTCATTATCGTCAAAGTATGAAAAAATGGATAAATTACTCGGAATCATTGTGTTCTAGTGAATTTTGCTTGATAATTGATGCAGACAATGTAAATCGTTTTAATTTGTATGATAGTTTAGCATGTGGTTGTATCCCAGTGATTGTCAATGATGAAATTGTTTTACCTTTCTCAGAAGTCATTGATTGGTATAAGTAAGTTTATTCTCTTGTTGTAGAAACTTGATTTTTAATTTGAAACATAAATCATTTGATTTAGGTCTTTTGAAATTTTTATTGTTGCAGATGATAGTCCTCTATCAATTATTATTTTGCGAACTTCAGAATTATTCGCTTACATTTTGGTTGACCGACCATAACTATGACCTTGACATGGTGGCCGGGTTGGCCTATTTTGATGACCTAACCGAGCTAAATTGGCTGGAACACATGTTCTTCTAGGTCTTACGATGCCAGATAGGTTGATTGGAGAACGGTAAGACTAGAGCAGCAACTTAAGGTCTGAGGGTGAAGTCGCACTGCTGACTGTAGAGAGCTATGACAGCAGTAAGGTGTTTTCCCCGGACAACAGGCATCTGCAGCGATGCTATCTTCTCACAACGAAAGAGAGGGTTAGAAAAGATCGATCCTAAAAATATCACACTTCACCTTGCCCCACGGATTTCCGCTTCTGGCGGTAAGGCTGTTTGAAGCGCAGAACTAACACTGCAGACTTCCCATAAAAAAGCCGTTTGTGACTGTCGTCAAGTAGTTGTCCGTTGAACTCTACGGTCACGACTCCAGGTCTCTAAGACTAACACTAATCCGATTTCCTTTTCCGGTTTCTCAAGAAATACCCTTTCATGGTCTGGGTAGCTGGAAAGTGACATCCGCCCTCATACCCATAGCAACACATGAGACCAAATTGGCCAGAATCATATCCTTCCTATACCTCCTAATAAATCTCTTACTCTCACGACTAACCCTTCTTTCATCTTTTTATCACCTCGCGCCGCCGATGTAAGTGATCCGAATACATGTCTCCTGAAACCCTGCTCCAAACTACATGTTGGCGCTTTCAATGTTTGAACCTTGTGCCTAATACGACAACATGCTTCCTTGGCTAGGACTTTGGAATCTCATGCTGCATCTCCGAAATGCACTTACAGGATCCGAGTAGAATCATTCATTTGACACCATATTGTCAAGATAAAGAATCGTCCCGACTTACTCTTCGTGTATCTGAAGCCCTACTGCTGCTTGCCGTGGCCCAGCTGGTGTAGGTATGGCATTAAGTTCTAAAGCAGAACTAGCTCTCTTATACCGGATTCCAGTAGATAGTCACATATGCCCTGTCCTACTGAACAGGACAGTAAGGACTCTGGAAGGCAGGGAGACTCACGGTTACCTTTTCGTTGTCTCTGTCTATGCTCCCACTGATTGCAACTCCGGTGAGGTGAAAGATGGATTTTACAGAAAGCTGTCGGACTTCCTTCAAAAAGTTAAGTGCTCTGATTTAGTAATAGTGGCGGTTGACTTTGATGGTCAAGTAGGTAGGCACGAGAAACAGAAAGACACATGGATGGATCTTGTGGTGTCATGACTCGAAGAACAGACAACGGCAACTATGCTCAGATAACCGCCTACTTTTGGAAGATACCAACTTTAAGCACAATAAAAACATCTTTCGACATGGCGACCCCCGAAGTCAACTCATTGCTAGACACATCGCTATCAACCACCGATAGAGAGCCTCAATAGAAGACTGCTGTTCGTTCCGAAACACATGTTTAGATTCAGATCGTGCTCTAGTGTGAGCGCGTATTCTTATCTGCCGCTTACTAGACGTAGGAAAGACACTGCAAGGAAACCTCTTAGGATTCTACTTAATGGTAGCCAAAATAAAAAATATTTTAGGAGGAACCATAACAACACTTAGGCAGCCATGTAAGTGATGCCCACCCAAGGCAGCTTGGATTGATATCCAAAAAGCTGTGGAAAGGAAAGTAATATCTGCAAGTAAGGTAAATCATAAGGTTCGGAAGCAGCAGTGGATCTCTGTAGCATCTACCGAACTGATATGTGTTTGGCGACTCACCCCGTATGGCTCTGAACATGATGAGAAGTGCAGTCAGCTTAAACACAGGTTAGAGGCCTACTCAATGATTGCAAGCAGTGGTGCTTAGCGAAAATAGAAGAGGCAGTGGCAATAGGTGACAGTAGGCAACTGCTATCGAAAATCTAAATGTTAGTTAGATCATGTTCAAAACTAGTGGGACTTTTATTCATTCTCAATGCAGGATATTGGATCGATGGGCAAGGCACTTTACGAAGCAGTTCAACTGGCCTTCAGTCATAATTCGGTTACCCACCATCTCCAGTCACCCTGAATGGCAATTCGATGTAAGTCTTCCAACTCTTAATGAAGTTGAGAAAGCTATAGGAAATCCAAAACGAGGGAGAGATAAATTGATCCCTTAGATATTTAAAGATGATGGTCCAGTTTTAGCGGTTAGAATGACTAGACCGACTGAGATCTTAGATAGAATGTGGGAACTGGATGTGATCCTATCTGACTGATCTCAATCACCGATTGTCGGGGTCTGTAAGAAAGGAGAAAAGTTCTCTTTCGACAATCACATAAGCATCAGTTTAGCTTATGCTGTATGCATCCATTCATTGTGTTGTCTCAAATCCTAATCTTCTGAATTCCTCATCACCTTTATCTTTCGCTTTTTTTATTTATTTCACTGGATTGTGCTTCTTGAATAATTTCTTTCCTTAATCTTTCTCATTACCGCTAATACTTCTACCACCTTTAATATCATGGATTTGAATTGAGAATTCGATCTCCGTGTTCTGGTGTGTGGTATGGAAACTTGAACTAATGTACGTACGTTCAAAGTTTTACGTTGGGACTGGCTAACTGAAATTTTGATTGAGAATTTATGGTGCTTTTTATTCGAGAGCTACTTAATGTGGTTCGTAGTCAAGAAAAACTTGTTAATGAATCTCTTAGTTGTCCTTGCAATGCTTCTGACAATTTTTTTAAAACCTCACGTGATGGAAACAGTCGTAGTTACAAGATAGTCAGAAAAACCCAATTTTTTTTTGACTACCTTCGAAGTAACGTGACTCATACTGATTAGATAAGTGTTGTTCATAATAAAGTAAAAGGGTAAGAATCCTATAAACTGTTTTCATTTAGCATCCCTTTTCTAACAATAATGATAAATTCATTATTAAAACTATTGATTGCACTGAAAAGCATTTGACATCGAGGCATACGGGGAAGAGAGGAGAAAGTTTATTCTTTAAAATCTGCCGGTAAATTAATTAAATTCCTTGGTTCAGAAAAATCGTTACCCATGCAATTTCACCAGTCAGCACAAAAGGTAGTAAGGAAGCCGAAAAACTACTTTGTAGTATAGTATGAACATAACAAACTAGACCTTTACAGGTAAATGTAACTCATAAACTAACAAATACACTCAAGCTAATGAAGTAGGATGAAACTTTACTAAAAATCTTCAACGTGAATCACTAATCTGCTTCATTACTCCTAGGATATAAACTTTAGTAGAATATCTCATTTGTACTTATCGCAATCTGTTGAAAATATCTATGTAAACGTTTTAAGATCATTTTAAATTCTTAATAGAATATGCAAATGTTTTATTCGTGATTGATTTTCTTTTTTTCTTTAAAAATCCTTATTTTTCTACCATAAATAACATAGAATCTCTATTCAGATTCCTCGAGCAAAATTTCAAAAAATCCCATCCATTTTATCAACATATTCATTGAAAGAAAAATTTCTTCTTCGAAAACAGATAATGTTTATTTATCAACGTTATTTTTCATCAATTGAAAAAATTATATTGACTACTTTGGATATATTAAATGATCGTGTATTTCCTCAATATTCACGATCTTATGCTGAATGGAATTATCCTAATTATTCTAAGGTGATTTACATAATTCCGATGTATTAACTATTTAATTTTTCATTGAAGAGACGTTTCTCTTTGACGTTATCATTTATTAGATTAGTAAAATTGTATTTATAATTCTTTTATTCACAGTTGTCTATAAGGAAAATAACAGATTATTGTGTTAATGAAAACATACTTTAAATAACTATGTGTAAAGTAGCTATAGATACAATTGTACTATACTAACAGATGTCTAAGAGAAACTTCTTTGTTGAAATATCATCATTATTTGTCCCCAATGGTGTTAGTACTGATGAAGTCACTGAGTTTGAGTGACTAACTTTTAAAATTCAGTCAATAACTATCCTGCGAGTATCAAATTATTACTATAATCATATTTTTTTAGGCTACAAATCTTTTCAGTTATCAAAAGTACTCTTTGTTGAATCACACCAGTAAATACTTTATTCCTAGTTGCTTTCAATCTGTTGCATAGATGTTTTACATTGAACCTTGTTAAAGTCATTCGTGAGACATCTTTATATTAACAACTGTCGTCAACTCTGTTACTCAGACACATGTAGTACTCGTTCAGCTTCGGTTTAGTTTGTTATATAAGATTTTGTCGGTAAGGTACGGAGTGGTGTATCTTACAGTTAGGCATTCGCAATAAACTAGTTAGTTCTTGGATTGAAGGATCTTTTTGCTTGTGATGTTTTTTGTCAGTCAAGTACAACGTAGAACTTCGTACGTACGTACATAAGTTCAGGTTGCCATACTATAGCACATTAGCACAGAGACGCAAATGTCAGTTCAAATCCCATAGTGGTGGAGAAGAAGTAGCAATAATTGAGAATACTAGGGTTTAAAGATATTATTCAAGAAGTATAGTTCAGTTAAATGACTTCAGAAAGAGAAGGATAGAGATGATGAGGAATTCAGAAGATCAGAATTTGAGAGAAGATAAAGAGGGGATGCCGCTGCGCCATTGTAAACGATTTTCTTGGTTAAGATTTCATCGTCACACGAGATAATGTGAGATTTAAAAAATCGGCAGACATATCTCTTTGAGTGGCTTGATAACCTGCCGTGATGATTAAAATGTGTGATTATCTGTTTTAAATAATGTTATTGTTACGGTCGTGATGAATAACTGAAGAACAATCAATCATCCTCTTGGTCAATTATAATTTAAATAGATTACTATATCATCAGACAGTACTCAACAGTACATTTACCATTCTTGTTCTGATGATTAGTTTAATCGTAAGTTAACACCATGTTGTGGATTATCTCGTTCTGATTCGGCAACACGGCGTATACTTGTAATAAAGTAATTCTTGTGAATTCCTATCTGTTGTTATTTAGAAGGGAAAATTATCTTCAATTACTCTCCGTGACTTTCAACTATACTGTGTTTCCGGCAAATGTAAATACTAGTTTCTGAGTAACGCATAGATAAGACAGTAAATTAGTGGTTAAGTGACACTTTATTTTCAGCCATTAAGCTCGAATCCCGCTCTACTTGGTTAGGTTTAACTAGTTATATGGTATCGTTTGTACCTACCCGAAAAAGTGCAATTCGAAGTTGTCGGATGTAATGACTGACTTACTCATCTACCTTTAAGCTTCCATCACAAGCTAACAGTGAAAAGACTGTTACAAACCAGCTGTTTCATTTGATGTTGCTTAACTGTGAGCATCCACTATCTTACATACAATTGAATCCACAACTTTCAGGTGTCGCGCTACTAAAATCAAGTATTTAGTATCCAAGATCAGTCAGTTTAAGATTTAGAGTGATTGTTTTCCACCCTTAAGTTGCTACCTGTTTCTCATCTTTGTTGAGTTGATGGTTAGCAACCTCTCACTAGAACTTCTGAAGATTCATGTTGAGTTCGGTTACTAGTTAATACACAATTATTTGTCGAAGGAATTTTTTTACAGGCTTTGTAAATGTGTACTATAATTATTTTCTTGTATCAAATGTTTTTTCAAAATTATTCAATTCAGGTTGGATTACCTATATCACCAGTATTATTTTACCCAGCTAAATCTTTTCCACGTATCGGATTTACCGCTCTCGTTCGAGCTCACAATCATTTTTCACTACTTTGTATTTTGTTAAAATCAATTCAATCTGTAAAATCCTTGAAGCAGGTTGTTGTTGTATGGACAAATAAAATTTATCCAGTTCCTGATTGTAAGTTTTGATATATTCCCTATTTGCTGTGATACTACACTTGTTTTATTCTAATGTTAATTTATAAAATCTTCATCTCATTAATATTTATAAATGAGTGTTACACATTGATCATCAAGATATCTTCGTGTTTACAGATCAGTAGCTATTGAGAAGTTGAGACCTTTAAAATTAATCTATGATAAGTTTTAATCTTCATTTTTACGCTATAGTTACTCAATAATTTATTCGTTATTTTTAAATCATTCTCTTAGAATCTAGTGAAATGAACTTAAAAGAAAAAGATAAAGGTGATGAGGAATTCAGAAGGTTAGGATTCGAGAGAACACAAAGAATGAATGCACCTGCGCCATTGCAAACAGTTTTGAGCCATGTCATTCAGGGTCTCTAACCATCTATTACTATCATCTGGCGGATCCCAACCAGGTAGTCGATACCAACAACATGACTCAATCCACCTGTCATTGACTTCATGAATTTGTGCCATGTTTTAGTTTGGCCGCCCCTAGCATTCTTTCAACCTATTCCTACATCGCAAAACATTGCTCGACGAAGCAGTCGGTGTTTGGTTATACGTAACACATGTCCCAACCAGCCATGTTTTATAGCAATAAAGTCAGCACATGGATATCTTGCCTGTGCCATAAGTGATGCAAGTTGTCTAAACCTAGTCATGCCTTCTGTATACCTGCTGAGACTTCGTCAGTCACCAAGCCATTAGCACTGATGAGACTCCCGAGATAAGTGAAGCGGTCAACATGCTCAACTGCTTCACTCTCTATCACTAGTTCAGATGTCGATACAAGCCAATCTTTAAGCAACATTTTGCATTCCGATAAGGAGAATCGCATCCCGAACATGCTTGCGTTTTTACTGAGTGTGTTCAGAAGACCGTGCATTTTGTCATCGTCTTCACCAAGTCATCTGCATACTCTGAGTCAACCGATAAATCTCCTGGTAGAAGGTCTACTCCTGAAAATAGGACGAGGATAAGGTTATAACTAGGAGCATGTCTATGACAAAATTAAACAAGAATGGAGAAAGTGGACATCCCTGATGGACACCACTTGAAGTAAAGAATTCCGGTGATAGTTCGCAATAAGCTTTCACTCGACCAGTGGTGTTCAAGTAGAGAGCTAGTATAAAGTTAGTGTATTTCTTTGGTACATCTTTTAATGGCATACTGCCACAGAACCTCACGATCCACTGAGTCCAATGCCGCTTTTAGGTCCAGGAAAACAACTATTGTCGGACGCCTAAATGTGTGTCTTTGTTCCAGGACCTGTCTGAGTGTGAAGATGTGGTCTATACAACCACGTCCAGGTCTGAAACCAACCTGATTTTTCGAGTCTGCTTTTCACGAGCTCTAGTTAGTAATCTAAGTATAATCGAGGCTAAAATGTAGGAACTATATTAGTTGGACTGATTCTCCTCTGATTGTCACAAGAAGACTTTTGTCCTTTCTTATAAATTGGGACAATCAGTGATTGAGACCAGTCGGATGGGATTGTGTCAAGTTCCCAGATTCTACCTAAGATCTCAGTCAATCTAGCTGCCAAAACTGGACCACCATCCTTAAATATCTCAGGGATCAATCTATCTGAACCCGCTGCTCGTCCTCGTTTCAGATTTCCTATAACTTTCTCAACTTCATAAAGAGTCGGAGGACTTACGTCGATTTGCCATTCAGGATGACTAGAGATTGTGGGCAATGGAAGTGTTTCTGGAAGCCAATTGAACTGATCCCTGAAGTGTTCAGGCCATCGATCAAATCTCCTGGATTAAATGCAAATAATAGTCTCATCCTTTTCTGAGTTAGTCTCACTAACAGTAGGATTCCTAATACTGTTTTCTTTGATGAGTCTGAAAAGTAGTCTACTGTTGCCTATCGCCGCTGCCTTTTGCATTTCTCTTGCTTTCGCTACCCACCATTGTTCGCGATCGGATGTGTGAACGAACTGAGTGTCATGGCCAAGATATCAGCTTTCGTAATTTGATGTATTTGAATTTTAAATATCAGAATTTGTGCACAGTTTACTGTGTAACATGATTCAGCTTCTCATAATTCATGCTCATTTAGTCGAAACTGACCGATGTTGTTAATTAAAATCGTTTTTTCTTTAGTCTGTTCTAATAAGTCTCAATGAGACTTATTATTTGGATTAATGGAAACTAGGAAGAGTATAAGAGGATTATGACATCCAGTTCATCATAATTGAAATAAGAAGTTATTTCCGAGTTGACAACTTGTAAAATCTGTATCTGAATCTCAATATAACTAAATTACTTTGAATCATGTTACTTATATTGCAAACTCATTGGGGCTTTTTTTCTTGTTTCTTACAATTTTAGCTGCATTATGGCCAACTTTAACCGTCCCTTTAAGTATAGTTCGTTCAGCTTATGGCTCAGTAAATGGTCGATTCTTTCCTTATCGACAAATAAAAACTGAAGCTGTTTTTTCTATTGAAGAAGATACATGCTTACCTTCGGTTGATTCAATCGAACGTGCATTTGAGGTAATTTGCTTATTTAAGAAATTCATTCATTCATTTTAATATAGATTTTTTTATGGTAATGTGATAGTCCTTTGTTATCGTAGAACCGGAAATAATTGACTGTTGGACTGAACTATGTTAGTAGGTGTATGTGATCTGGTTGAGATATGTGTGTGGTTAATTCCAAATCAACCTTATTATCCTAAGGTTTTTCGCTCTTTTACTTTCTTTTAGAAGTTATGTTTCAATATTTTCTTATGTAAACCTTTTGATCTGTTTTTTTTCAAACCGTAATCTCGAATGTTAACACTTCTTACTACCATTGTTTGAACTCCTTGCATATTCTCCCAGTTAATGTCATTTAACCATGTGATGATGTTACAGAAATTTACGCTTGAATAATTTTTATGAGACTAAACTTTGATTATGTTCATGTTAATCATGAGTTATCACACTTTGAAGTCATGAATCAATCACTGCTGAAGAGTCCTATTATACCACGACGAAATGGCCGTCCAGTGCTTCCAGGTTTCTAATGGTAGTCTAACAATGATTGATTCATAATTTCAATGTATAAAAACAATGATCTCTCTATAACTCTAATTGAAAAATCATGAGTTAATTTTGACTTCATGATTTTATAAACTAAAAGGATAATTTTCGCTTGCAAATTTGTAACATTTATAAAAATACATAAGTGGAATAAGTCCAAAAATGATATTTTTCAAATTTCTCATCTTATCCTTTATTTTCCCATTGTCTAATTCTTCTCAACAAGTATTTTCGTATTGTTATTTACGACGATTGAAGTTATCGGGACATATTTAAATCAATTCTTGACCCAAATACAACTAAATGAAATTGTGAAAAAAATATACATGTTTCAAATATAATCTGACATGAATTTCTATAGATTGAGAATGCAATAAAAAGACGACCTTTAATATAGTTTTCATTGCATTCTGTACTTTAAAAGTCATTAATGCACAATCGTGAACTCGAATCAGATTGAATTGAAAACTTTCAAATTGTATAAGTTTACCATTCATTTACTGAATCGAAATCCGTTAACACATACTTTATCCTAAATTCATTCAGTGTTTCTGTTTCAAATAACTTCACTTCCATGTCGATTTCCTACTGGAAACTTGAAACATTATTTTCAAAATTAACATTTGTTTAAAAAGTAAATTTTTAAATAATTCTGCCCAAATAATGAAGGCACATTTGATCAATCTGGTCAAACACGAAATCCAATCAAATTAAATCTACATATTAATACAGCTAGAATAGGAAATATCGGTCAGTAAAATTAGATATTTCAGAGTCTGCTATGTATTGCTACTCTTCAAATTGAAATATTTTCAATTTCACTACATAATTATATCTTTTATCTGTAGTACTTATTAAAAATAGATCCTCAGTATAGATCAATGGTTTTGGTCTTATGAAGGAAACAAATCTTTTTTTCAGATGTTTCTCATTGAGATATTAAATTCTTATTGACTGGTAAATTTTCAGGCTTTATATTCGTTTTTACAACTGAAAAAGATAAGGTTAGGCTGTTGAACATAGATATCTTTTCATCGTTGGTAACGTTTCATGAAATGGTCGAGTGGAGAAAGTGTAGGTTTCGCATAGGTTGCTAGTCAAAGATGGTTGATTAGTTGATAAAGTTCTGAATGTTATTCATGTGTCGTTTTTCACATATGGTACTAGTGTCTAACCATAATCTACCTCGACAAGCAATGCTAGCTGATGTAGGGGTATGTTGGAAGAAGTCTAAGGAACATCCAGACCAAAACATGAAATCACCGACTATTAATCTTTGCCATGTTAGGAGACACAGATTACCTGGTTATAGTATGCGCAATAATCGCCACCAAGTGACTTGAAACATTGGGTAGCATGACTCGTAATCGGTCAGTGTGGTGCAGAATTATTTACTCCTTCTTTTATTCCAAATCTTGATTTCCGTAGTTCTTTAATATATACGTTTCCACTCTTGTATTTCAAACTATTTCCAAACGCTCAGTTCTCGCTATTATTGAAAGCACACATTATTTCGATCTATTTTCGCCATTCATTTTGTTATTTTCATCTCATCGTGCTAATATGCTGTGGTAACTTTGATCATCTGATATTTGTCCCAGACTATTCTTTTGTTATGACAGATTGACTTTCGCAACCGGGATTTTCTTCAATCACAACGTTAACCATTCATTTATGGTTGATCTTACGTGTACGTTTTTTTAAAATGGTCAATATTAATTGAATTATCATTATTATTATTATTATTATTATTATTATTATTATTATTTTATAGTTATGGTGTGAAAATCCTGAACGACTAGTCAGCTTATCTGATAAATCTATCTGGCATTTGTATGATGACAATCAATCGTTTTCTGCTAGTTTCTCATCAGTATTCTTCCATAAAGTAAGTGATTTTGAAGAATTATAGTAGCAATAATAATAATCATTCATATCATTTTGTATATTATAATGCACTTTAGTTTACAAGAACAACTTATTTTGTTTTAAAAGCAATCATAAATCATAGAATTCATGATAACAATACAACCTTACTGATGTCAGTCTATCGAGGGATTATTTTTCCAGTAATTCATCGTCTGAATATTGATGTATTCAGATATAAAACACTATATCACATTTTCGCTTGTCAGAATACTTATATGCTAATGTATGTTTATCTTCTTGATACTATGATGTGCAAAATTGATACAGTATGTAGAAACAGTTTTGAAGATTCATGTCATATATCATCGCTGTGATAAGATTTTAATTCGTATTTATTAGGTTCACATCACAAGTTAGTGGGATTTCTGCTATCACCTATGTGGTTGGGTGAGATTTTCAAACATTTCGGATTAGGTGTATTAATTTGTGATCAACGTTATTCGTGATTTGTATTTCCCGTTTTTTTATATTCGAAATTGTATTCAACATGTCTCCATTGATATATGGGCTCCTTGATAAAATCGATCTGTGTCATCTGGAATTGTAAACGTATTAATTTCTGAATAGTTTGGAACTGATGAATTCAAGACATACAGTTCGTTGCATTTGCTATTCGTTTCTGAGATGTACCTGTCCCCCAAAACTCACCTCTTCAAACATCAAACCCCTTTAGGGAACACTTCGACTATCCTCTAGCAACACCTCAACTACCCACCATCTTCAAACAACTTGGATGGCTAATCGACGTGAGTCTTCCGACTCTTAATCAAGTTGAAAAGGCCATAGTCAATCTTGAATGAGAAAAAGCAGCAAATCCTGATAGACTAATCCCTGGTATTTCTAAGGATAGTAATCCGGTAATAGCAGTGAGAATGACTGAGATACGGGGAATGGACACAAATCCATCCGACTCGTATCAATCAGTGCTTGCTTCAGTCAATAACAAAAAACAGTCCTCTTGTGATAAACGTTCACAAATGTTTGTGTTACATAGCTTGACCAGAAATTCTGATAATGATGAATGAATCTCACTTAACTAAACGTGAAATCACTACTATTTGTTTTCCATAAAGTATAGGGTCATCTTTTAAATTAGACTATCCCATTTTCATCCATTTTTACCTATTGCAATCATCGTTCTTGATTTCTAATCTCACCATACAAGTCAGTTTTCAATCGTCTAAGCCAGTGAAATATCGGTAAATTCTATTAAGTTCTTACATCCATTTAGGCAAGTTACAAACCATACTTGATTATATTTTGGATTTTACGCTAAAATCCAATAACATCAATCTTAAATCCGATTGTTTCCATGTAATTTATTTTTGCGTTTAAACCTTCACATTGAAACGTTTGACGTTAATGCATTAAACTATAAGATTATCTATTTCTTTAAATGACTGACTTTTGGTAATTTTTTATTTTATGTGTAATTTATAAATTGTTTAAAGTATTATTTGATTATTGTCAATCAACTAACAATATGTTTTTTTCCATATATCTTCTCATTCTATCCTATCCTATGCTATCTTATCCTATCCAAACAATCAGCATTATTTACATTTGTATACGGATCTATTGGCAAATCCTATCAAAGCATTTATCGATAATTTAGATACATGTGAAGATATTTTCTTTTATTGGTTCATTATACAAACATCTGATGGTCAATCAGTATTGAACAGTAGCCAAAGTGGCAATAATTCAACTATTATAGACTATAATTCATCTAATTTATATAATTTTACTAATGAATGTCATATTACACCGAAACATTGTTCATTTTATGTAAGTCAATTGAAAGCATTTATGAAACAATTTGATCGAACAAATTATTATCCAATGAAAATTTCTCATATAACAGCTGGTGCCTTATAAAAAAGAAAAGAAGCAAGAAAACTATTCTTTTATTACTGTTACTACTTTTAATAATAATAATAATAAGGATAATAAAAGTCAATTGCATAGGATAATATTTTTTTGATCTACGTAAAGTATTGTCCGTATCTCATTGATTTCTTTTTTTTTTAAAGTTTAAAATATAAATCTTCAAACTAATGCAGATTTTTGTTCTTGTTATTAAAGCAAAATTGAGCCTATCAAATGAATGGCTTATCATCACAATAAGGTTGATAGCGTTTAAATTTATCTAAGATAATGTGACGAAGCAGTTGATCTAATAGTTACAGTTTACTTTTCTTAGCTGGTTATAATGTCTGCTATGCTGATTGAGCAATAATTCGTACATGTTTATTGGTTTTAAATCCAATAATAATTAGTTCATTCATAACTATCAGACTTATGAATTTCTATCTTATCAAATATATCCTGTGATGTAGTAAAAGCAAGAAAGATGGGAAATTAAGCGGCGATAGGCAACTGTTCAGACTTATCAAGGAAACTGCTATCGAAAATCTGACTGTTAGTAAGATTATTTCCAAAATTACTGGGACTATTATTCATTCTCAACGCAGGAGATTGAATCGACGTGCAGAACACTTCAGGGAGAAGTTCAACTAGCCTTTAGCCATACTTCTGTTACTCGCCATCTTTAGTCACTCTGAATGGCAAGTTAATGTAAGTCTTCCGACTTTTACTGAAGTTGAGAAAGCGAGGGAGAGCAGCAGGCCCTGATAACTTGACCCCTGAGATATTTATGGATGATGATCCAGTGTTAGCAGTTAGACCGACTGAGATCTTAGATGGAATAAGGAAGCTGGATGTGATCCTATCTGACTGATCTCAATCACTGATTGTCAGGGTGCGTAAGAAAGGAAAACAGTTCTTTTTTGACAATCTCAAAAGAAACAGCTTAACTAATATAGTGCCTAAGATATTAGCTTCAATAATACTTCAACGCCTAACTGGACCTCTTGAAGAGCAGACTCGGGAAAATCAGGGTAGTCTCAAACCTCAACGTGCATGTATAGACCATATATTCATACTGCATCAGGTCCCAGAACGTAGGCAGACGTCCCACAATAGTAGTATTTCACAACCACAAGGCATTGTACGGTTCTTTGGCAGTGTCTGTCTTTGAAAAGAATACCGAAAATTTAAATTAATCTTGTACAGTCTCACTACTTGAACACAGCTGATGGAGTCACAGCATTTGAGGAACTGTTATCTAGGTTAAATACTTCAGGTGGTGTCCGTCAGGGTTGTCAGCTTCCTCATTCTTACCTAGGTTTGTCGCTGACATACCTTTCGAGATGATATTTCCATCTTCAGACGTTTTAGTAGTTAACGTTTTGCCAAGAGATTGACTCAGAGTATGTCTGTGACATGGTTCTTTTTGGAGAATACGTTGACAAAATACAGTTTTTTGACTACCTTAAACAACGATGCTAGCTTGTTCGGAATGCGATTCTCCTCCGAGCGCGGAATGTTGCTTGAGGATTGGCCTGCGTCGGCATTTAAACTGGTGATAGGGAGTGAAGTAGTTGAGCGTACCGACTGCTCCATTCATCTTGAGAGTCTCGTCAGTCCTAATGGCTCGATTGACCTTTACCAACTTGCCTCACTAGTAGCGTAGGCGAGATATCTGTCTATGTATGAAACAAAGAACGAGTCTAATGTTCGGCAATTCGCTCCGTCCTATTCTACAGATGTGACACATGACCAGTAAGAGTAGAGGATATTCGTAGGATACTACTAATCGATCGTAGGTATCTTAAAAGCACTGCTCGTATATCCTGGGACCATCGAATGAGTAATCAATACTGTGGTTAGGAAAAGGGTACTAGGTAAGGATGACAGGTCAGTTGATGAAGTAGTGAATGTTCGTCAGTTGAGTGATGTTTTATGATGTAAGTGTATGCTGGAAGAAAGCTATGAGTGGGCAATCGAAGACATGTGACCAGTCCATAAAGTCACTGACAATCGGACTGAGCCATGTTAGTGGGTGTAGACTAGCAGGTTGGTGTCCAGGAGACCATGCTAACCGATGGTTTCTCTTCTTACATCTATTTCAATGAATTATGCTTCCTGAATGATACTACATCTACCGCTATGGTATCTGTATTGACAGTTGCATCTCTGTACTACCGTGGTATTGAAATTTGTTCTGATGTACGAACGTACAAAGTTCTACGTTGTAACTTACGGACTGAAATCCTGTGATATCAGTTCTACTAACATATATTAACATATCTATAAAAGCATCTGACTAATTTCATCGGTCCAAATAGTGACCAGTCATCTCTTTAGAGGAAAGCATGATCTTTGTAATAAGATATTTATTTCAGATATTAATCCATTTCATCCAATCATTTGGATTTTTTGTCAATAACAACAAGTATATTATATATGATTGTGTTTCCACACAGTTTCATTTTTAGTATTACACCTGAGGTATGTTTACTAGCTGATTAATTGAGAAAACAAAACAATTGACTAATTCGGCTGATCTCTGTTTACTTCATCTCAATGATATAAATTCAATAAAAATAAATCGACTAGAAAAAAAATACTATTTTATTTCATGATTAAATTTGATGAATTTTTTTGTGTGGATTTATCAATAATTTTAATAAACTATGCTATGCATAATAATATTACTAACAAAGACATGGTATTACATTGCCCTACTGTTCACTACTGTTCATTTCAACAATCTCTTGAAAACGATGTATTAAATGCTTATCAAATAAGTGTATTGGTACATTGGGTAAACCATAATCCCATCCATATCGTTCACGTGCTTCAGCTAATTTAGCTAATCTTTCTTCATGATTCAATTTAGGTAGCCATGGATGACGAGGACATATACGAATATGTTGTCTATTTAAAGTTTTTTCTAATGAATATGTATGTTTGAGTAAATAAGATAAATTAAATTGTTTCTGCATTAAATTTGGATATAGGCCAGGTAAATTATCTGGTGGTGTGAATTTTTTAACTGGAGAAACTGAACGTTTACTTGAACTAGTCGATCCAGCTGTAGTTGGCCTCTGGAAAAATGGTAAAGGAGAAAATTTTAAAAAAAATGTCATAAATAAGCATTATGTTTGTGACAATTGATAAGTAGTGAATAACTGATATTTAAATATTATTTCGTACAAAGAAATATATTTCTAGAAGATAGTGGTGGTGTTTCGTTCTCTGAGCTGGTTGTTTTGGTTGTGGAGCTTTCATTGTTCTTCTGAACAAACTTCAGATAGAAGAGAACGAGACACCACAACCATCCACCTGAGCTACAAGTTTTCTCCACCATTTCTAGAAGATAGTCAGTCTTAAACATTAGAGTCTGCAGATAAGATTGAAAGCTTAGTCACACTAGTGTATGTAATCGAGTTATTTAACTAAATAACATAATACTACAATATTTTTACTGTATTTTTTCTAGGAGAAGGCTGGCTTATGCTTCATTCTTGTTGACATCCATCTGTAAGACTCATTGCAACATTTAGGGAAACGTCTGCTTGTGTCAGAGATTAAAAATTTTATGATCTTCTAACCGTAAGATAATTTGACACATTTTCGTTCGGCTTCCATCATCTAGATTATTGAGTTTATGCAGAATAATATTTTAATGTTCATTGTTGCAATTCACCTATATGGCAATCGAAAAGACATTTCCGATGAAGTCTTATCAGTTATAGACTACTTTTTTAAGGTCTCAAATAGCAGTTTATCATTCTGAATCATAATCTTTATTCTCAAAACAAAAGCAAACAAGAAATAAAATCTAGCTGGTAGTCGATTCAGACACCATTCAAACAAAGAGGATTCATCTATAATCTCACTACATAGGTGATTAATTTATTTAACAGATTGGTAAATAGAAAAAACTAACTCCAATGAATAGTAGTCAGCTGTTTACTACTGTTGCCATATAACTAAAGATAGTTTAACACGATACACAGATAATAATTAGTAATTCTAATCCTTACGATTATACTTCTGAAGTTAATTTAAACAGGTTTACAAATTCCTTACCACATCATTTCTAACTTAATATGTTTCCAAATTATCCGTAAATATGCTCATAGTATCTGATTCCATGTAAACTAAAACTTTACGCATATTATTAAACTGATCGTAAGAAAACTGTATATGATTAGAAATGCTACAAAATGAACTAAATCTATACAAGAAATTAGTCTATGCAATTGCTCATACGAAAACTAAGCGTTAGGATGCAAGGTTATATGATTTTACAAGTTTAACATATGAACTATCTAAATTAGACTAATGGATTAGTTGAGTAATAACTATTTGATACACAAAATTCTAATTCTAAATAATTCATATCCAGTAGATCGTTTGATTCATAAAACTAATCGAAACCGCGTGTCGATGTTATTCTAGTTTTCTGATTCAAAATGGTAATATCTAAGACACTGATTTTAATCGGTTTCGTTAGCTAAAGGATATAGCTCATACTTATGCGTACAAAAAAATATAAGTCGAACAGGAATCATGAATACTATGTGAATTGAAGGTGTTCAAGGAACACTATGCACACTTTTACCAACTCAATGAATGTCGATAAGCGTTTATATTATCAAAGAAACTTTGATTCACAGAACAATATTTTGTGATGCACTTTTAAAGGGAAATAATGATATGTCAACAAACCATATTTGTAGAGAAATTTCATTTGAACAGGTAGTTTCGCTAACGAAATATCATTTTCGTACGACAAGACTTTCAGAAACTCTCCATTTCTGCCGTAGGCCACCTATTTAGAATACTACATCGTTTAAATAGAGATCAGTTGTACTATCCACTTCAACCATATTTTGAGACACACAGGAAAATAAGTGTTTGTTATCTTCTCCATTTAGTCATTCGAACTTTTTTAGTTTTATAATCATATAAGTACATATCAGCCTTTTTAATTTAATCCAAAAGTGATTTAGTACTTAGGTATTTTCAAACCTTAGCTTTACAAACGGTTTGACCTAAAACCAATATTCGCTTTATAAAGTTTGAACTCAGAAATACATATAAAGTATCAATATTACTAAACACCAACGGTGGCAAACACATCAAAATTTAATTGATCAGATGTAACGATTTTTATGCAAATGTTCAGTGCATTTATTGACAACAAATTTAGATTTCTCACTACTAAACCATAGTCTCGTGTGGTTTATCCTCACTTCTTTATAGGTGTGATGATGTGTGCGTGACCAGTTAATATTTTAATAATTATTAATACCTTATAAAACCCAATTTCAATTAGTCAAGTGTTAAGAATCACCAATAATTAAATCCGAGTTAGAAAAAATTAAGTTAAACAAAACACTTTTACTAGACATAGTGGTTGTTACAGTGAAAAAAAAACTCAATTCCTTACCATTGATTTATTATCTCTGTTTATATTAAAAACAAGAGATATTTTAGTTCAATACTTATATAACTATTTTCAAATCATATTATGCAATAAAAGTTTGTCAAATATACTTTAAAAATAATAACAAAATCAATATTTCCTCGAAAATAAATAATTTTTAAACTATTATTACTGAAAGAAAATCCGTTATAAATATTACTACGTTGGATTGTTTTACAAAGAATCATGTTCAAAAACACTTGAAAATTAAAACAAGCCTAACCTAACATACAATAAACAATAATAAGACTATCATCATGACCAGGTTTTAGAAGTGAGTAACCTACAAAGATGATATAATTCAATGGTTTATAATATAAAATCTTGTTAATCTTGTGTTAAAATTCTTTTAATAAGAATGTGATTTCGTTAAATGAAAGGCGTTTTCTACTAAATAGTAGCTTTTGCTCTTGACACCGATTCATTCAACGGCTTAAGTAAAAATAATTCAGTTTTATTAGCTGACATCATTCGAACAGATCATATTATTACACATCATCATATCGATTGATCAGTTCTCTATATTTTATTTCACTATCCTTTAAGGTCATTCATTGAAAATTTTAAAGTTTCTTGTTTAAATACAGGTGTACTTATATATATATAAATTATACTACTTATACAGTGTTACCATAGAATCAGAACAATCCTATGAAAACAATTACAATAGAAGATTTTTGAAGATTGTAAAACAAAAGTATGATTAAAATCTGTGGATAAGCGTTTTATCCTTGTAATTCCAGTGATATTTTACATGGATGTATAGCGACAACTACACAACTTAATTAACTATTCATTAACGATTAATATACACATAAACTTACTTTGCGCTTTGCACTACCCTGTTTCTTCTGTTTATCAGCTGCCTCTTGAGCTAATTCCCACTTATCATGTACATGTTCGATTACCCTAGGATCAGACCAATTCAAAGCCACTTCATAAGGGTTTGCTCCTGAAACAAAATACAAATGATCTTAGAGTCATTGACTTTGGATATATTTCTTGTCGACTTAAAAATATCTTATTTTAGATTATGAAGTTTATTCATTTGAATCATATTCTGTCCTGTTTTCCGTAATAGTATGACACATGTATCAATATATTAGTGAAACACAAATCAGTTGGATATGATTTGAAGACATTATGGTGTTTACAATTAAACAGTGATGCACAATTTATGATTAAACTCTGTACAGAGATACTTATAAGATACAATACATAAAATACTGTTTTTAACATATTTAGATCTGTTTCATAAAGGTTTTGGATTAATTGATATTAGTTGGCATATTATTTACCAGCTTAGTTCAAATATATCTCTACATTAAAGTCTCCAATGGATCTCGTTTGGAAACAGCGGTCAGTTACACCAGTGACTGATTCTCTGAATGCTTTGAACAAATCTTAAATATCATGCATTCAGCTTCAGAAAAAGATTATTTAGTCGAATACAGTTGATCGTAAAGCATTTGTAACCTGACTTATTTTCTTTCTTACCTGATAAAATATTCTTGGTTGTTTCTGTTCTTTTATTTTCTCAATAACCCTATTTTTCACTTCATTATATTCTAATACTGACTGAATGAACTACAAGCATAATTGAAAGTAACACAATCATCTTAACACACGGCTACAAGTTTGTTGGAAGTGTACATTCTTTCATTGAAATTCAGTTACAGTAACCTATACATTGTGAGGACTGTTTATAGAATTCCAGTTCATTTTTAAGATGATTTATGTTAATGATAAATTTATAGCTTTAAAATGGAAAATTTCTAATATCACCTTAGAACCCACAAAACTGCCCTTTCAAAGATACTATCCAATCGCAGAGCTGAAAGTGTAGCGATAACTTAACATTCTGTCCTAAATACACTTGCTAAGAGCCCATAATGAACAAAATTGGTGATCTTGTAGTGTGCCTATTTCGAGGTGTTCTTAAGTTTCGTAATTAGCTCGTTCAGACAATCGTCGCCAAATAGTGCCTGACGGTTTATAAATCAGAAGGAAAACTCGATGTGTTGAACACGTTTATTTTGGCACACCACAAAAAGGGATGGCAGACCACAAGCAGACCGGACAGATACACTAGCGAGTGAATGTGCGAATTGGCGATTGTGCGAATGGGCGAATGTGCGAATGAATTGATAAGATAAAAATGTTCGAATATATATAAAGGAAGATATCTGAGTCATCGTGATATTTAAGAGATTAATATTAAAGCGAATAGGATGAATATGTGCGTAGGTGTACACAACGTTCAGTCATACCAATTCATACAAACCACACAATAATAAAGGCCAATGGTACATATAAGTTATTGTTATACAAATGACCTGGTTAAATAAATTAACTGAAAGGGTTGACCTAATAAAATGTAAGCGAATTCAAATATATGTGAGGTCACTACAATCTGACAACTCATGTTAGTATCGTCATTCGCAAGTGTGAACGATTCCGGCTGAAGCTTCCGACACAAGTCCATTTCAAAGCTTTAATTCTTGTTCGCAGCTAGTAGTAACCGAAATTCACAAATATTGAAACATGGTTGCTGAGTCATTTGGATTGAAATTCTAGCAAGACACAGAATAAAATGGCACTTGATAATCAAAAGTTAGTCAGTTATTAGTACAGAGCACCAACATATCTCTGTAATAAGATGTTGTCTCTCGAAATGCTTACTTCATTAGCCGATCATTTATTGTTTTGCGACGAGAACTTGTCAAAATATTTTTTGTTGAGTTGCATTGACTGAGAAGGATAGTTTAATTACAATAATAATAATGGTGATAATTTTATTCAATATCACATGTTTAGTTCAATGTGGGATTCTCAGAACCGAATAATTTGCTTCACTAAAACTCTTCAATCAATAAAAATTAGAGAATATATTTCCTATCGTCTATTGTGAAAGAAAAATATAACTAAGACGTGTGTGTCAACCTTCCTATTCTGATCCCAGTCTAAAATTAGTCATTTAAGTAGTTACTTATCAGGGAATTGTCGAATAAAGTAAACATGTATCCGTTTCATAGTTTATCTCACCTTTACGTGTTTCTACACATAATTTCGAACCTTTCGATAGAAAATAGTCGACTACATTAAGTCTTGAACATTCAATAGCACGAAATAATGGTGTTGCACCATTCAACGCTTTTGCTTCAATTATTGCACCATTGTTTAATAATAATTCAACCATATCAATCATTCCTGAATGCGCTGCATGATGTAATGGTGTCCAACGGAAATTATCACGTGCATTAACATTCGCTCTACAACAGACAATATGAAATTCGGGTATTTTAAAAAAGTGAATATATGTAGTTTTTTAACATTTCCCCCCAAAAAAATGGAAATTCTTTTGTTTCTACATTGAAATTTTCTTTAATTTCAAATTATCATTCATTAACCAACATTGTTATCATTTTTAATTAAATGGAGTATTGATAATAAGTGAATAACTTAACTGATAGTCAAGTCAAGCACTGATCTTAGCTACACAATAATTGAAAACCTGGAATCTCCTTAGACTCCTCTATAATGACAATTATCATGTACTTACTAGTGACTAGCTTCAAAATGCAATTCATTACGTTCTAGTGATAAGCCGTCAGCTGTAGATTTCGAACATATATGGTGTAATGAGACAGTTGTTCAACACAGGCAATGGATGACGATTGCACAATACGGCAAAATGATTTGAAATGGACACAGTTAGATTCCGGATCATTGGTCTAGAGACTAAGCATTCGCGTGCGAAATTGAAAGTCATGGGTCCAACTGCCGGATGTAAGGTCGTTGGTGTGCACTGCTGAACAGTCTCATATTAGTACAAGGCGGTTGTTCAGTGCTTCCATGCTTTTAGTGGTGGTTTAGCTATGATTGTTTCGTAACCTAACTATGAAATTTCTACAATCTCCAAAAAACTCATTTACTAAAGATAATTAAGAACCAATTGAATAATTCAAATGATTAATAACAGAATAATTACTTTAAAGTGATTTTCGATCTATCATCAATCTCTTCACCTGAATGGCATACCGTAAGCAATTTCACCGGTATGTTATAATACGCTAAGTTATACGCATTTACAGGAATATGTTGCACTGAAAATTACCAGTTAGTTTTGATCTCTCTTTAATTAAGCATATACACTTAATCTTGTTCTCCATAATTTACTTGCACATAAATATTTAAAATGTCCAGTTTTGCTGATAGATAATGTTGCTATCGATAAACATATTCTATATCCCTTACTGTACTCTATTCATTAGTCACTAATTACCGATAATAATATTTCACTAAAACATTTCGACAGTATTAAACTTATATCTGTCAATTGTAGTTAGTTTTATTCTATCAGTTGTTAAGGTGTTATTTAAGTAAATAGAGTCATCCCTTTCGCTTACTGTTTAATAATTTATAAGCATAATAATATAACCAACTGCTGATTATTGCCTAAATTATGTCATCTGTAAGTTAGATCATTTTCAAGAATTCATAGAATAGTCAGTAGTACTTAACTTTTTTTCAATACCATTTAATTCATTAAAACACTTAACTTACCCTAGTTTGATAAGTTCAATAGCTACGTCTAAATTACCATGATGTGCAGCAACCATTAACGGGGTTTTATAAAATTTATCTCTTGTATCAATATTATATCCTTCAGATAAAGCTAAACGAATTGAATCTATGATAAAAACAGATGAAAACTAATTACCACTGTAATAATAATCAAGATTACAACGATGATGATAATGATGAGAACATTATCAATCTGACTTATTACAAAATACACCTTTTTGGCAATGATCAACCTTGATGTTTAAATATGCAACTGACTATAACAAAACAATAGAACTTCAATAAAAATCAACTTGTTAACAATGCTGTGTTTGAAATGATACTTGATTAGTATAATAACAAACTGTATGAAGTTAGATAGATTAATCTATGCATATTTGTTAACGTTTTGAACTACCGCTACAAAAATAACTAGTTAGGACTTTCGAAATTCCTTAAAGCATGTCTACATTATTATAAATAAACGTATTCATTATTTGGAAATTTAGTTTACTTTATATATTTTGATTCTTTGTTCGTTATACTCGTGTTCGGGTGACGAGTTAACAGTATTTCGCAAGGTAGGATATGTAATCTTGCAAAATCTATACATTATCATACATCATTTGACAGGCTTAACACTTTTCATTATGGATAGTGTCTCGATAACGAAATAATACAAAATAGAACTAGTTTTGCAGTAATTCTCATAAGTAGATCGAAAATTGCTTTTACTTTAAGTTAAGTAATGTCTCATAAGTTTCTGATTATTTATGGTGAAGAAAATTTGTAGATCAGGTGCATGATTCTGGTGGAGTATTGTTCTCGGGGCAAATGGTTTATGTCATGATTACACTTTTGAATGATCGACAAGTGAGTTATAAGTGTTAAAATTATAAAAGTGTGGTTCGATGAAATATTAAATGTAGTTCTACATTCTATGATGGATGTTATCACTTGGTGTATAATTACACACAAATTTACAGTGTGTACTCGTTATAACTTTGAATGACTGGGACCTATACGAAGGAAATAAAAACATATTATTTTGTCAGTTAACATTTTAGTCATTTCATCAAATGGTGGTTTCCTACCATTCTAAAACCTCGCTAAAATAATTTCAGTACAACGTTTTAAATTCTCAAATCAAATGAAAAGAAGTCATATATTAAGTTGATTGTTAACACTACAAGTAAATCCTTATAAGCGAACACAGGGAGTGTGAAACTTGCTTACACATAAAATGTTAATGGATGAAAAATTGTCTATCTATCCATTATCTATCTGTTATTTAGCTGATATCACAGCTTATCAAGAGATAAGTGCACAAAGCAAAGAATATTATAAATCTGTGATGCTATTTTAAAAGAATAGCGTAATATATTGTGGATAGTTAAATTATTGATTTTAAAAATAAAAAAAAGTGATCGTTAAATGAATAAAAATTAAAGATAACCGAATAAACATTTTACCCATATCATTATGTAGAGCTGCAGAATGAAAGCTTATATACTGACGCTTTGGCGCATCTAAATACCAAACAGAATCATCTTGTAACGGATGTACTGGTGGGTGGTCTGCATCGAAACGATCTAAACAGTAATAGAAATGAAACTATTTCTCTAGTGAACTATAACAAATTAAACAAACACCATTTGTTTTAATTTATATAAATCTATTAATAGGTACAAATAATAGTTTGTAGTTAACATATAAATATATGCATTACGGGGTGGTGAAGATTGTTAAGTTACACATTTTTGAAACCATCTATCGATCAATGTTAGACCACCATTAGTAACCTGGAAGCACTGGACGGCCGAATCCTGTGGGGTGCAGGAGTCGTGGATGCGCACTGCTGAGGAGTCCCATACCAGGACGAAACGGCCGTCCAGTGCATCCAGGTTTCTAATGGTGGTCTAACATTGATCGATTCATGGTTTCAATATCAATATATATTTACTAAAAGCTATACTGTACATAAAATAACATATTCTCTTATCAAAAAAGAACAGAATAATTCTGAATTCTGTTTAATGTTATAAGCGCTGTAGAGTATAATTTTCATATCCTAACCAGCTCACGATCGATCGCGTGCCTAATCATTCGAGAGTCTTTTTCTCAGAATTCCTCAACTAGCTTGAAAAACTTGTTCACTATCAACTGCTTTTTCAAATTTTTTTTACATGATGTCAGTGCATGGTGGAAACTATTGTCAGTCATTATCAAATTTTGTTCTGTTGACTAACTAAGGAAAAGGTTAAGAATTTTTTTTTGGTTTTATTATGTTTATCATTAAGTTGTGATTTTGTTCCAAAATCTTTGGTAAATTGAGGATTCTTGTAATCGAGCTTTAAACGAAAAAGAAAGCATTGTTTCGATGTTACTCCAATTTTATAAGCTAATACTTTTACGGAGACATTTACTTTATATTGAAATAAGCTACAACTTTTAATAATATCATTTATCTATTACACTGTCATTTGATCGTAAAGAAACATATATCATGGAGAATAGCTTTTTTAATGTTTTGAAAATGTTTTTCAGTATTTCGTATTGTAACACAAGATTTAACCAATAAAAACGTGTTAGTGATACCTATTTATATTGTTACTGTATTCTTACGGGTGTAAAAATTGATACCTTAAAGTGAACACATTGAAATAGTTATGAGTTTGGTTAGACAAAACTCTAACATATTTAATACGTTGATCAACTATTCACCTATTCGTTTTCTGCGCACATTTTTCTATATTGATACTTGAATACAATTAAAAGTGGTTTGATTTTATGTAGTTAAACAAAATACAAACATTCTTATAGAACGTTTGAGCAATTCTCTCAATGTAGTTAGTTGCATTAAATTGCAGTGAATAAAAAAAAATGTATGATATTAAAAAACTCACTAAAGTCTGTATGATGAATCTCCTTAGGAATGTACATAATAGCAGGACCGCCGTCTGCTCGACGAAAAATAGCCTCTGATGGCAGTGTACATATAGCCATAGGTATTTTTCTGCGTTTAGTATCTAACGAAAAATGTAAACAAGGACAAAATAATGCATAGATTAAAAACGTATTTATTAAATTACACCAAAACATTTTGATCAATACAAGATATTCAAACTACAGATAAAAATTACGTTTTCCACTAATTCTTCCATTGAAGGCACTCAAAGCATCTTGACTAAATCGAGAACTTCTATAGCATCATTGGTTTCTTACTATTTAATTAATCTACTCAGAAAAGAAATCCATGTTTCCAAAGAATATCATGGATAAATTAATTAAATTAGTTGCTACTTTGTTGAATTAAACTATGTGTATTTTAAACACTCACTATTATTAAAACCATTAGTAAGTACAGTTTTTTTTGATACTGAAGACGGGGAAATCCAAATTAGGTAACTGTACACAGTAGGGCAAAAAAGTGTTTAGACAGGAAAATGATAAAACCCAAATCTTATTATCTGTCTTCTTAGAGATTTGTTGTATCTAAATGAAATGAATCAGTCTAATAATTCAAACATTTGGATAGTATTATTTACATTAAGATTAGTTGAGATGCTAGAGATTCATTCATTCATTCTTTAAGTTCTCCTAGATCATGTATTTCAAAATTATTTTCTGTCCGCTAATTCATTTACTCTTTTCAAATTTTATACACTACTTAAATCAATTCACTTGATTATGCTGAAATGATTTCAACTGCATAACACACTTGAGTGTAATGGTCGTTAAAATTCAATCAAATTTTCATGTTTTATTTTATTGCTGGATAAATGAAGGATTTTGTCTGAATAAGTAAGCGAAAATATTGAACGAAATTAAATCTAGAGCTTTGATTTTTATGTCTTTATTTATAGTTTATTTTAAATAACTATGTGCATTGATATCCACCATCTAACTCAACATTGTCACATTAAATATTTTTAACTGTCGTTGCAATCATGAACTAACCAATGTTAGACCATCATTGTATACCTAGAATCAGTGGACGGTTCAGTGGTTTAGAGGCTAAGCGTTCCCGAGCGATACCAAATATCTTACGTTCGTTTCCCGGATGATGGGTTACGGATTCTCACTATTGTGGAATCCCATACTAGAACGGAACGACTAATCATAATTTCCAGGTTTCCAAAGACGATCTAACAATGATCAGTATATAATTTCACTGAAACTCAACAATCTCAACAACTTTTTTCTGGCATTAAATTTTATCCACTGAACATTATTAATGTCACTGAGAATGCATGAACATGTTGTAGTTCCCTTTAGGTAATTAAAGTTTGTCATTTATTATTCATTTCCAATAAAATATACATACTTTTAATATATTTTGAATATTTAAGACAAATAGTGATATAAAAAATTACCGATCAACTTTTGAAATACAACAAAAAAATAAATATCCTTCAGAACAAATCTTATAGTACAAATTTTAACAATAGAAAATTTATTAACTCAATGCAGGCTAATAAAGTATAGTTTTGAGATAATATAAATTTAAATATTGTATGATTGAATTTTAAAATGTTCACACTATTTGTTTAACCTATAATCTTCAAAGTTTTATGATTGAAATAACCTGTATAATATCATCACTTGGACATTTAATTAACTAATACGCTAGATATGCTAAACGTTACATGATAATTTGAATGATATATCAAGTGGCTCATAGTAAGAGCTAAAGGTAGATAGTAGACTTAGGTTATCTGCCATATTCTCATCGTTTGGATTACTTTGTCCACCTAAAGCAGACATGACAGATGCGATTTCTTCTTGAAGCATTAAAAACGAAACTATAAATCATATCAATAGGTTTCAGTGATAAATTAAATCACTAGTATAGAGTTGTGCAGATTACTATTAACTACTAACAATGATTTTATTTACTAAAATTCAATCTTATCACAGGTAAACCTAAACAGACTATTGAACTCTAACCCAATAAATCTAACTAGCTGACATAAAAGTAAAGATAGCAGAATCCATTAAACAGATTTATTCGGAAGAAATTACATCTAAGGAACAAATAACGAATTTACTATTCACTAATAGAGATGTAGGAAATTATAAGGTTTATATATTTTGACTGAAAGTTGTGAAAAACTGGGGTACTGACCAATTGGAGATTAAATATTACTTTGAAGTAATTCTCATTTAAGTGCAACTTTCATCCTATGTCATCGGTAGGTAGTTGCTACCTTCTCAACATGGCAGAACACCGCCAATCATGACTTTGACAGAAATTTCTTTGATTCATTTCAACGATCACACCGATACTCAGACCCAGCACCTTTACACACAGACCCTAGGATCCCAAGACTCTGAAGAGAGGTTAGCCATTACAGTCTTGAATAAGATTAGTTTATATATATATATATATATATATATATATATATATATATATATAATTTTCTATTTTTAAATCACAAACTGGTCTTAGCTATACGACCTCAGAAAAAATCAAAAGGACTACTATGAAACTTCCCAGGAGTGCACGTCTATAAACCCTCAAACAGAAATCGAACCTAGGATCTTAAGTCTCGCGCACGAACGCTTATCCTCTAGGCCACTATGCAGGCACGCAGCAGTATTGATGCTTAATCTTAATCAATCCATGATTTTGCACAACTTTTCACACACTGCCTGAAGGAGATAACTATCTCAAACTATAAACCGGCTGGAATGCACGAGTTATGGCTTTTCGCAATAACTCCATGAGTTACATTTCGAAGCTAAGGTTATGGATGCGCACTACCGAGGAGCCCCACGCCAGAAAGAATCGGCCGTTCAGTGTTTGTTTGTGAGTTCAACTGTGAAAATGTCACAGTTCCTAGAAAATGTGAATTTACATTTTTAGCATAAAAACACCCAAAATATATTTTAATCAATTACAAAATTTTAAGTTTTAAATTAAAAAATGTATAAAAGCTTAGTTGATCTTATTGGGTTTCCAATATCTACATGCATGGTTAGATATAATCACTAAAAAAATCATAAAAAATATAGGACTAAACGTAGATGTGTAATAATTCGACTTGTCACATTTTACATTATCACAGTGGATCAAAATAAACAAAGTACATGTGATACAGAGGATATGTCTGGAAAATAAAGCTAAATTCAGTAGGAAGTAAAATATTTGAAAGATGGTTTTCATGGAGGAAATAACTTGAAAGAATAAAAAGCATATAATGACATAAACTGTAAGCTGTTGAAAAATGTTTTAGCTTATTTATTAGGTGCATATTTATGCATTCAGCTTTGAGAAAAACTCTTTCCCTTAAGAACTAGTGATATTAATTGGTTACAAAAACCGAAATAGGAAAATGGGGTTTGATCCCATTATTTAAAATTAAAAGTTAATTGCTTCGATTACTAATTCATCGTAACTAGCTAGATTTAATATATGACGATGTCCTATTTGGTGACTGCCTGTCCACTGTATGTTAAACTAGGATGACGTCCTTATCTAACAATGATTCAGTAAAATTAAATTCAGTAAATTTGATGCTATCATAAGAAGAAGGCACATATTTGAGGATAAAAAATTATCCAAAAGAATTTCAACTTACTTTTACCACCTTTTTTCTTTTTCTTTTTTCCTTTCTTCTTTTCAAAAGCTTTTAATAAGTAATTTTTATTCAAATATTTCTTTCCAGTTAAAAACTCTTCCCAATCAATACAACCATCAGCGTTTTTCTCGTGTAAAAGTAGTAGTTTTTTGCTAATTATCTCATCAATTGGTCCATCTAATGAACTTACTACTGATGTGAAATCTTCTATAGGGATTCTTGTGGTTGTTTTCCTAGATCGGCTACGACTTGAACTACGGTTTTTTGATCGTTTTCTTTTTTTACCTGATTTTTTCTTCGTGTTTAATTTATCGGACTGTTGTTGATCCGAAGCATATACTGCAGTGATTAAACTTTGTTCGCTAATTTGAAAATCATTTCTACTATCCAAATCCCTTGAAACATTTGAATTTGTTTCTTTTTGTTCTTCTAGGACACTTGATAATCGTTGACTAATTTCAATGAAACGTTCTTTCAATTCATTACAATATACAATTGACCAGTCATATAGTCGAATAGCCCAGTTTTCAGCATTTTTCACGGTTTTACTTGTTACACGTTCTAGTTTACGTAGTTCTTTTGCACATAATTTTTTACCTTCATTAATAGCAATGTTTCGAGGTAATTTTCCATTTGTATTCTTTACTTTTGCATCACAACCTTCAAAACGTTCGTTGAAAATGAATATATTATTTTCATCAAAGGATTGTGGAGATTGTCGGCTTTCATAGAAACCATGAATCGATCAATGTTAGACCACCATTAGGAAGCTGAGAACATTGTGCAACCATTTTGACTTGATATGGGACACTCTGGCAGTGCTCATCTTCGACCCATGCTTGCGGGAATCGAACCCAAGACCTTCGGTCTTGCACACGAAGGCCGATGAGTCTCATACTAGGATGGAACGACCATCTAGTACGTGCAGATTTGCAATGGTGGTCTAAAATTGATCAATTCATGATTTCTATAAGAAATAATTTTAGTCGAATCGCTCATAAGGTTAGACTATCTTGATTATTATCGCACTTAAAAATATTTTCACTTTAATTGACAAGATTTTATGTCTAATAGTTCTTGGTTTTTGTTGTTTAATATATCTTGCTTATATTATTTTTAGCTAATTTTTATGATTCGTTGGACTGAGATAGTTGCGAATAGCAATTTATTCAATCATTTCCATTTTGTATTCAGTGATACTTAATTATATAATGCAACAATTTATTTGACAGGTTAAATGTAGCCTAAACTAAGAAATTCCTCATTCCTCTTCATTACTGTTTGGATTCTGTTTCAATTTACTATTACTTCACTGAAATCGTGAATAGCTCACTAGAAGAACACCATTAGAAACCTAGAAGCACTTGTCTGCAGTTTCGTCCTTGTATGGAACTCATCAGCAGTGTACATCCACCTATAATTTCAATGAAACTCAACAATCTTTACAACTCTATAATGAAAAATCATAAAAATGTGCTCACCAGTTATTAGCCTCATGAGTTCTAGTAATAGGCTGTGGCCAGCGGAGTTCAACCCTGTTGGGTGTGTAGGCCGTTACCTACCGAAGACAATGGGCGAGGTTGTGGATAGAAGCTAGACATTATTATCGCTGGATAACAGCTCAGTGGTCTATGGATTTAGCTTTCGTGTTCGAGACCGAAGGCCTAGGGTTCGATTCTCGCAGTCGGTTGTCCTGGATGCACACTGCTGAAGAGTCCTATACAAGGACGGGACGCCCGTCTCGTACTCCCACGTTTCTAATAGTGGTCCAACGATGACTGATGAATAGCTTTAATGAAACACAGCAATCTTCACAACTCTATACTGAAAAATAGCTATTACTTCATTCAACACAATATTTTACGGTAAATTTAATCATTTTAAGTCTACAATGTCGTCTAACGTTACATTGATCGAATAAGTTTACTTTTCTATACTACCTTCTTGAGGTATTCAAAGCAATAATATTTATTACTCATTAAATTACGTTAAAACAAAACAAATCAGAAGTATTATCAATTCACCTCTTTGACCAAGAAATTTACAACACATTTCATCGACTTTCGCAGCCATATGTAATGGATTATTTCCATCATTATCAAGCTGTTTTAAATCAAAGTGAAATGAACATCGAATCAGTATTAATTTTACATACAATAATTATTAAACTGATATGATTAATGTTGTTATTAGAACGATCACTACTACTACTGAAAATCTATTGCTCGAAGGATTGTTATTTTAAAATAGCGGGAGCTAATAAAAAAAATTCTAACGCAGGCCAACCTTAGTTAAAAAGTTTCATCTTCATAAGCATTGGTAACTGGTTTTCACCAATCTGGCTTTGCATTGGATTTAATTGTAAATGGATAGAGGAAATCTAGTCACCAAACAACTGATCTATTATAAACTATAACTTGATTTTCTCATTCGTGTGACTGAAGAAAAGGCATTTAAGTCAAAATGAGTGGAGTTATACATAAATTCTGACAGTATACCTTATTAGATTACAATCTGTTTTTAAAAATAGTTGGCTCAAGTTATACGCGGCTGTCTGTTGTGGATATGTTCATTATAGAGAAATCAGATTTCTCACATAAAAAAACTCAAATGTAGTGAAAGGTAAGAGCTGAAGTGAAATCTTTTATAGAAATTGCATTCCAGTATGCAAGATTGTTAAATGACAGGAAAATCGATCAAATGTGCTATGTAGGCCACGTCACAGTTGTCTGCTAGACTGGTTTTATTCAACACTGGCTGAGTAAAACACTAACAGTACAATTTCCGATTTACCAGATATATATTTAACCTACAGATTTTCTAAATATGATTTTCGTTTTGTAGTATCTCATTAGTGAATAAATTATCCTTACAGTATTGAAGTCGATTCCAAATGCAGAAAGTACAAACAACACCTTCAAATGACCATTTTTAGCAGCTTCATGAGCACCAGTGTTTTTGTTACTATCACAAGAATTTAGATCAGCTCCAGCACGTAATGCTGCTGCAACAGAATTACTGCTACCTGTTCCACATGCTTCTAAAAATGAATTTTTGCCATTTTTCTAAAGTAGATTAAAAAAAATACGCAAATAATACATTGTTAGTTACTGAAATTTTCTTCTTTGTATAATGTAATAGACGAATACAATTAGGTTATGATCTCCCTCAGAGCATACTTTAAATGTCTATTGATTGTTTTCAGTATAAAAGGGTTAATATGTATGATTGGAAAAATACAAACAAGATTTATTGTATGTGAAAGTTTGTTTAGTGAAAAGACACTTTGAATGGCAGATTTAAATAGGTTAAGGAATGATTCAAAAAATCAAGAAGAATAATCTACATCTTTCATTCTAGTTTAGTTCTTCTCACGACTACTTACCAATCACTTTGTGAGATTCATTTTGAAAACAGACATTTCATCATTTAAACAACAGGATAAGTTGAACCTTTGTTAAATTACAGAATATGAAGGTATATACTAACTAATATGACATATGAGGTATGACAATAATCAAGAAAATAGTAAACCTTAACAAACTCAAAATCTGATTGATTAGAGGCATTTCATCCATCTGTTAAATGCTGTTGGACTTTCCGATTCATTCAACTAAGTTCTTGGTTTTTCGCCAGGAACATAGAAATGTAAAGTTACAGTACTTTAAAGCATAAAATATCAGAAATCTGCAAAAGTTATTGTTGTATATTTGTTGACCATCCTATCCCAAAACGAATTTGTTTAGTAATTTCTCGCATTTATCATTGTTGCTTTCTTATGTCTTCTTGATCATTTAGCAGACTTTTTCCTTTGTTTTTTTTCCTGATGCGTTTAACGGTTTATCCTATTGGAGCAATATGTTTTCAAATGAAACATAAGATTCTTTTAATTTTTACTATGATTATAGTATAACTGTATCGAGTAGTTAGAAGTGAATAAAGTTTAATATTTTGATCAAGACTTGTGTTTTGGGTGTGCAACTTTGAATAAAAAAATAAAAGAATGAAATCCTCATGATTATTGAGCTTTGAAAGGAGAAATTTATTTCCACCAAATCAAACTTCATCGTGCTGTGTATTAGAAACGATTTAACTCGATACGATGCTGCAGTATGACAGGTCAATTATGCACAAATAAGTAAATGGCTAATTTAATTGATCACATACCGAATAAATGTTTGGGTTGGCACCGTTATCTAATAATTCAATAATAAACTTTTCATTTTCCGTTGACCTTTTGCATGCAATATATAACGCTGTTTGACCGTCACGATCCTGTTTATTGATGAGCATTCTTTGATTTAGTAATAAGCCTAAACATTTCAAATGTGCATCTGTTGGTGAAATACAATAAAATAAAGCGGCTAAAAACAGTAAACATATGTTAGCTGAAATTACTTCTTTCACTGAAATCACTTGCATTTCTATCAGCCCCTTTTTCGAGTAATTTCTTTAAAATAGTGTTGTTTCCAAGTTCAGCTGCCGTCATCAAAGCAGTTTTGCCATCGAAATCTACTAAGTCTGTGCATGCTCCATTCGAAAGAAGAAACTAAAAAAAAATCAATTTTAAGGTTGTTTTTATTACTTCGGTTGTGTAAATGTCATCAGATTTCACAGCTGAAATTACAGCCGTTATACCACTATCTGGATCATTATAATTGATAAGGTTTGGTACTCCATGTTTAATTAATTTACTTATTTGATCAAAATCCTTGTTATTTACACACTGAAGTAGCTTCTTTATTTGTAAACGTTCTAATCGAGAATTAGCTATTGGCATATGTAATAACGCCCGATTAAATATTTATTTTGAAGCTCCCGAAGATTTCCATCAAAAATATTTACTGGTAGAAGTTAAAATAGCGGAAAAGAGTAAACATGATCGAAATAAGGAAAGAGATACTATGATTTTACAAAGAACAATAGTGATAAAACCCGAAATAGACTATAGCTATGATAAGCATTATTGCCTTGCGTTAAAGTAACCGGATAACGACTCTATCTTATGTAGGTCTTCCGTTTGTGTATGCTAGCTTGAGCGTATTTGAAGGTACAATTATTTATTTTATTTTCTACTTAATAAATCCATCAATTCCTAGGTTTCCACGAATATTCAAGAGGCAGTTTGTTGTTTTATCGTCCATTTACTTATATAATTCTTAGAGTCATCTTTGTTAACCTAAATGAGGTAGAAAGATTCAAATTGAAGAAGTGTATTCCTAACACATTTTGAGTATAGGTTTTTTATTTAGAGTATGATCACTCTATGACTGAAAAAATTGTTTCAAATTTCCACAACTTGATTTTATATGTCAGTTTTAAAATTTATTATATACTTTTTATAGGAACAAAAATTGATGAGCGAAGTAATACAGGAACTTTTTGCCCCAGTTACTGAGTTTTTCATAGAATGACAATTTAAAATCATAGCTGTCTTGTAAGCATAAGGATTTATTGGTCATCAAATTTTTGATGCTAAAATTACTCTCCAGATATAAGTACTGCTAGAAACATAAAAAAAGTATTTTCTAATTGACCCATTTCCTACAAAAACCATTTATTGAAGACATTTTGGAACATTTGTCAAAACAAATCTTAAGGTATAGAGTTCTGACATTGACATAAGACTAAAAATAATCTCAATTATTTAGATAGCATGTATTCGGCATTGTTAACGATCTATAGTCTCTGCACAAAACGGTAATTGATTTATACATTTTTACTATCATATTTTTCAATTCAGCAAAATGCCTTGATGTTGACGCATGGATTTATCCCATTTATAAGTTCTGGTTCAGCTGCGACACCTTACTAAGCTTTTCGACAGATTAAGAAACTTTGATAGCTCATAGTACATTTGATACTACTAATTGTTCGGATGTAAATCCGCTTTAAGATCTTTAAAAAAACTTTCACTATCCGAATGCGACATGGCAGCTTCATTAAACAGCCTATTTACTAATAAAAAGAGTAATTTTCCAGCCCCAATATAGACATGCTTACAAAGACATATACTTTCGCGGTAGAAGTATGAAAGCATCTCAAAGATGAAGCTATGTATGCTGGATTCCATACATCTAAACTGACTGTTGCATGTAACTAAGTAACTAATTTTTAGGTTGCATTATACGTCATAACTGTATATGTAAACAGTTATTCTAAATTTACAAAGGAAGGGTTGATGACACTATGAAGTTGTAAAAATCTGAATAAATACGACCTGAAGTCGTTGACTGGCACCGAACCATCCCCTATCAAACTAAATTATACGTTTGAGGTTAAAGACATATTGACTTACAATTAACGGATTCAAAAAAGAATCTCTTGAAAATAGAAATTTACAGTTTTTAACCCCAACAAACTGAGTACTGCTAGATAGTTGAATATGTTCGAGTTGTCTTCATTACTTACTAGATGTATATAAAGAAGAGTTATTTCTCCTCTCGACCATTGTAATATGAGATAAAATAAATGACAGGCTCACTATAAAATGAAATTCATGAAATAAAAATGTAGACTACTAGGCCATGTTATTATTTAACAGGCTTCAAAATTTTCTCTCAGCAATTAGTGAACAGAAGAAAGCCTAACAAGCCTGTATAAATAACAAAGGAATTTGCGAAAGAGCGTAAAATATAAATCAAGCACTAGTGAAACCATTAAAATCAACCTGTTTACTGTTCAAATCTGCTTTTCGAAAGAGTGCAAACTTTCAGTCTATTAAAATTATCTTGTAGCTTTTTCATTTTCCGGTTAAATAGATAATCAAGTCTAACTTTTCCTATCTTGCATGATAGATCACCGAATGCTATATAGTCTATTAGACAATGTCAAGGGCAACCAACCTGGATTGGTTAACTGAATACCATGAGCTGGCCATATGGCAATGGTTGCGTGCTGTACTCATCTAATCTCCTATTAATAGACATTTTCTACGTTAAATTATTGTGTGCTTATACTGTTTTCAAAGTAGTCAAAATACCTGCCTATAATAAAACGGTAAAGGTGCATTCATGCCCATTATTTTTATGTAAACGTTGTAAAGTGTGGTTGTTATCTGTTTTAAGCTTCAGTCAAACGTGGACTTCGAGATCAGCATGTTTTCGTTTCTTTATTTTAACAGTGAAACAAATAAACCTAGATTTTTCTCCTCGTATATTTCGCCTGAAAATCAAACTTATAGACTAGTTATGTGTTAAATGAGGCATAAACCTGAAATGTGTCAAGTTATTCCCATTTCCATTTCAACAGCATGAAACTATGCGAGTTCTTTAGTTTTCTTGAAGTTTCACGCCGTTATATAATTTTCTTTGTTAGTTATCCTAAACGTATTTTACTTACTCTAGTATAGATAATAACTGACGCTTAATAACGTATCTGTTAATGGGAATTTCTTTATATCTAAATATAACATACTTGTTTGTAATTCATAGCTTACATTTCCTATATAATTTGAGTCACATTTAATATAAAGTCTGAGTCAAAATTTAGGCGAATGAACAACTGATATATGGATTCTTTCAGGACATTCTTTTTGGTTTTCCCACAAAAATTTTATAAGTGTCAAATTCGGCTGGACCTCAAGAACAACGAAATTAGTTGTGGAATCAAGTATGGAAATATATTCTACTACAGCCACATTAGTATAAATTAAACGATTCAGCTAAATTTCAATCACATGTTGAATGAAAAGAAAGGTCTCACTATTCCTTCAAAGAATGTAGAATAATAATTTTCAAACATATATATCTATTTATTTATCCTGTGATCATTTCTATTCCTTCATTCTTGTTTGCTTGATGATGAGTGCTACAAACTGAAAGCACTGTAAAACCCACTTCCCACCCAAGTAAATCCAGATGAGAAAAAAATAAGGACGTTTGACGATAATTCTAACTCAAAATGATATCAATTCTCGGTAAAAGTCAATTCATCATTATTGTCGGAAGTATTTTTTTACAACAGTCTATTTATTGCCACTGATGTTTTAAGCGAAATGTAAATATATATACTGATAGAACAACAACCATATTCAGCATTGTCTAATAAAGTATCTCCAAGGCCATACATAAAAAGATGAGTGAATCACAATTAAACTATGTCCGTGAATTTTGCAGTACATTGCTAAATTTAAAAATTTATCAATTTCTAATACCCAATATCTCTTTCACGAGCTTGTATGAACAAGTAGATCACTTTGTGATAGATTGTTGTTATATTGTTACGGTTCAAAGATATGGATATTTATTATGTGTGAGAGATCGTCCTAACTAACGAAAACTAAAATTCTAAGAATCAAATTTAATGTGATATGTACAGATGTTTTGGAGATGGCTGGAGAAAATATTTACTCAAAAGTGGTAAGTTTCCAATATACGATATGTTTTTCACGAGCAAGTACAAACCAACTGATTTCTTCGAGCTCGATTCTTGTTCTTTCGATACAGTTCCTGGTGTTTGTTAGTGTAAGTTAAAGTGCCACTATTATTTCACAAGAGAGCGTGATTAAATGTGATAGATTAAAACAACTAAAATATTTATTTAGTTCTGTTTTGAGTAGTGGAGAAACTTCGAAGCTTTAACCCCTCAATACCTCACCCAAAATTTATTATGCTATCCTCTTCTGACTTTTCAGAATAAATTATTTGCGTTGTCAGTATGTGTAAGTCAGCAGAGCCGACCTCAGCTTCGAGATACTGCATAGTTGCTGATGAAATAATCTCAAGATTTCCAAGATCTTACTAATTCGTTTCATGCATGAAAGTTTCATACATTTTCATTCCTTCAAGCTGAGTTACCTACTGATCTTTGATATGTGGATCTGACGCAAGAAGAAAAGCCATAAATAGCGTACCATTAAAATAACAGGCTATTGCTAAAACAAGGCTGAAAAAGTATGCTTCTAAATATCAACTGACAAATCGGAAGCTGTAAATAGTAAGGAATTTATGGACTAACGACATTCAGTAGGTCATCAAACTCCGATCTTAATACTAACGTACAATTATCATATGAAAATAAATAAATAAATAACATCTTTCTTACAGTCACCTTGCTTGGACGATGGCAGTGATAGTAAGCGAGATACATAGTCTGACAGAATTTGAAAGTGTCCGTGCAATGATCGTCTATGGTTTGAACCATGTGACTCGTTCTATTCATCAATGGTAGAGACCTCTTAGGTTTGCGTTCCAGTAATATATAATATAAAACATCTGTGAATGTGATAAGATATTCCGAATGAGGAATTTCCAGTGGTCTTTTATTTCTTTTTCTCCTGTTGCAACTAAAGGTTTCGATGATTCAGCTGGCTTAATTACGCTTATTTATACCAAGTATTAAAACTCAATAACTTACGCCTATTACCCAAGATGGAGCATAGGCCGCAAACTGGTATTCTCTAAAGTACTTTGTTCTGGGTCTCCATTTTCAGTTCCGCCCAAAGTTTTTTCATTCTTCTCTTATCCGTCTATGTTTTTCGACGTAATGAGTTTCTTCGCCTTCCCCTTTGATCTAAGAAGTTCTAAAAGAGAGCTTGTCCCGTGATATAGCTGGGTGCTTTCCTCAATGCATGTTCCAGCTCTTCTCACTGAGTTCCGCCTCCACTGGATTATGTTTTATTCTCTCCCTCAGTGCGCAGCTGCTCATGGTTTCTGGCAGACGGATTTGAAGTACTTAATGTAGACAACTGTTAATGAATACTAGTAACTCCTTAGCATCTCAATCAAGTACATTTTCGTTGACACACTTTTTGTTGATTCGAAGATTCTTGCTTTTCCCTTTGTGTATGTTGAGAACATCTGGTGCTGAGGATGCGGCTACACTAGTCGTATTCTTTTGCTTTTGTTGTTGCATGTTTGACAGATTAGCCAGATCGTAGAGCTGCATACAAGCTGTCCATTGGATACCGTGCTTTCCTCCCCGATCACCAGGGGAAAAAGAAAGGGTGAGAATAACAACTTCGCCGGACAGCCGTATCCTCGTAAACGAGTTTGTCAGCAGCCCTCCGTGCACGATTTCGCAGTCGAATCCATCATAAGAATTCCGTATGATGTTGTATATATTCTTAGTCGCGCCGTAGTGTCGAAGAAGACTCCATAGTGTTGTCCTATCCACGCTATCAAATGCTTTCTGTTGGTGAATGAAGTTGATGTAGATTGGTGACCTCCATTCATATGAGTCTTTCACAATGATCCTTATTGTTGTTATTTGGTCAGTACACGATCGAACCTTACGAAATACCGCCTGTTGATCTCGCAGCTGGGAGTCTACGAAGTCCTTTATTCTGTGTAACAACACCCTGTCGAATACGTAGCCTGTTATTGAGAAAACAATGATGCCTCTGTAGTTCTCACAATTGCTGAGATCGCCTTTCGTTGGTATTTTGACCAGAAATACTTCACGACTGTCTGATGGTACTTGTTCCTTACTCTTAATCATGTTGAAGAGAATGTGGATTATTTATTCAGTTGCGGTCACGTCTGCTTTTATTACCTTGTAGTGGGCGAGTCAAGATACCAGACTGACCATGCTCACCACTAAATGTTCCATGATATCCCGCCATCATTGAAATCAAAATAAATCCATGATCCAAGGTTTTATTGAAGGAGACAATAGGCATTACATCGGGAACAGCAAATAGAGAAAAATGGCAGCAACGCGAAGAGAACGTTGCGCGCAAGAAGTGTTTTTGGTACAGTTCAACAAAACGAGTACAATAATGTTTACTTTTCACAAATCGTATTTTCTTCGTAGAAGCGTTCCACTACAACCTCTCCTGGAATGTTATCTGGTCCAGCTGCTTTGCCATTCTTGCTTTGTCTGATGGTCATACTGATCTCTGCAATTGTTGGTGGGCCAAAATTGATTGGGATGTCCGTAGATGCTGCTTCGATGTTGGGTGGGTTCAGTTAGGCTGGTCGGTTCAAAGGATTCTTAAAGTGCTCTACCCACCTATTTCGCTGTTCTTCAGTGTTGCTGCTAACCATGCCTTATGTACTTTTCAATGGTCGTCTGCTTCACGATAATTTGCAGTGAGTTTCTTTGTTTTATCGTACAGTTGTCTCAAGTCTTCTTCTCTTGCATCCTATTCAGCTTGTGCCTTAACTTTTTCTGCTCTCGTTCGACCACAGAACCTCACGCCTAACTGAGTCGAATGCCGCTGCAACGTCGAGGAATACAACTGCTGTAGGGCTTGTTTTTTCTAAGTTGCAACATATGACGAATATATGGTATATTCAGCCAAGTCCAGGTCTGGGTCCTAGCTAGGTCATTCAGTAGACTGTACTCACCCCTACTTCAGAAGGCTGACCACGGTTTGTCGTAATTTATTTTATACAAATAAGGTCAAACATAGCAATGAAAACCAAGGGAGGTGTAGACCGTCTCGTGATATACTGACCATAATTTAGTCAGTAAAATATACCCTCGGTCGCTGAATTTGTGGAGCGTATAGGTCCAGATACAAGTCAAACTACTTGCATGACATCACTAGAACATACCTGTTAAACTCACACCTGGCTAATAGAGCACGGTAGAATCAACTCCACACACTAGTTTAGATCCATAATTAGTAAAATCATATTGCATACGTTTCTGGGTATTGGCTGTTAACATCATGTATCTACTCATCTAAAAGCACTATCCTTCTGAGTAAGAGCAGTATGTTAGTCAGAAATTTGAAACTGAATCACATCACACTCTCTTTTAGTAAACCAAACTATCCCACAGACATGTATACTGCAAATAAAATTATCCAGCTAATCGGTTTCCACTGATTCATTCTACTAAAGTGTAAACTTACCAAGTCTATTAGACTCCTTATTTCAAGTTCTAAATGTTGATTACTTCAAGAAACAATTGCAAATATTTCAAATAAGACGATACTATTATTCCGTTTTGCTGTGATATGACACAACTACCTACCATTACATCGTTCATTCATATTTTCCTGTAACCAAGGGTTATATTCTGAAATGCATTGATCGCTGATCTGTTAAGTTACTCGTAAGACAGACAACTTAGCAATCATTTCAGTAGATTGAGCCAATGGAAATAACATGAATGACCAATATTCACATACACAAACAACCACCAATCAGTCGTTTCGAAGCTTACCCCACATGTATGGGATAGTTAGTTCACTAGTGAACTGAACTTTCGAAATAAATCTTATAGTTGTTTATTATTGTTGGAGTAGACTTGCTGGTTTCATTTCACCAAGAACCACATTATTTAGTTACAAAAACGCTTAACATACCTGCCATCCCCACAAATTGTTTTGTTTATAAATTTATCGGTAGCAAAATTTCATCAAGTGCCAGTGCATATGATACACTATGACATGAAATAATTTGTATCACTTTGTTATTTGAAATTTAGCACACCCGGTAATGTCTTAGGTCTTTACTGTGCCTCCAACAAATGATTTATAGTCGCTCTGATATTCTTTTAAACCCAGAACACAACGTAGGTAGTTCATAAATAAAATAACTCTTAATATAATGAAAGAAAGCCTTATTTCACGAAAAAATAAAATCTGTGAGTTAATGACTTGTATAAAAAAAACATTTATTTTACAGATCACAGGAGAAGTTATGAAATGAAAAATTATAGAAAAACATTAGGATACAACAACAAAAATCTGACAAATTTATACTTCAGGCATCCAAAAAAACGACAATCCCATTATTACTACTATGAAGCAGATTGTTTAATAAGTGCACTTTCCAAAATTGCAGGAGCATCAGGACGCTTTCCTGGATCGTAATCCAAAAGTTTGAGAACAAACTCAGTCTAAATAAAAATAATTTTAAATAAACTTAAATTAATAATTCTTCAGGTTAAAAAGAATTCGACAAAATGTTTTTAGATATCTACTGAAACGTTACACAGTCTAGATTACAATCGTCGCGTCAACAGCCTTGAAAAATGAATAAGATATTTGCTGACATGGTGAATAAGGATTAGCAATTAAATCTTACAATAAATTTACAAATTTACATACTAATTCAAAAAATGTTTCGTATAGAATTGTGTCTCAGAAAGTTTCTTTTTACTATTATACATTAGATGATTAATCATACCACACTGCTTCCAACAGATCTTAACAAGGGTGAATTGTGTATTATTTTGTTCAATTTAACTTCAAACCTGTTTAAAACTTAAAAGCATCAAATATTGATCCATAAGGAATGATAGACTATCAACTCAATCATACAATACCATCGTACGATAAAGTTTTCTTATCATACAGAATCTGAACAAAGAATGTGCAAGAAACAAACAAACAAACAAACCAGTGAACAGAAGGAAAAGAAATAATGAACTAACCAGAGTGTCAACAGAAATAATTCTTATTAGCAATGAAATTAACAGTACAAAAATCAACAAACAAAACATGCGTACTAAACTCAGTGAGTAGTTAGTTTTATAACTCAGGCGAAAATTAAGGCTAACTGCTAAAATTAAGCTTAATGAGTTAACTGCTTTGATTTAGTAGTCACCTAGACAATCCCTACTACGGAACAAACCAAACAAGTCATAATCATTAGTTAAACAAAGAATCACAGGTAATTTGGTCATAATAAGTAAGTAACTGGAAGATAGATATTATCATTGAGTCCCATGAACCATTCGCAAATTAAGCTTATCTTTTCACAAATCACTGAATCGAACAAAGATTAGGGTTTTATAAGTTATATAGTTCAGCAAAGTGCTACTAGGTTAATAAGCAGTAAAAAATTATATAACGTTTAAACGTTAAGTGAAAAAGGACTAGTTTAAGTGAACTATTCATCCACCAAAGTTCATTGACTACGTGTTATGTGAATATATATATCACAAATACTCTTTATTGCAAGTATTATGACCCGGTCTTAAGCAACAAAGCTCTATATATGACAGTGAACTTCTCTCTCTGAACCCTTCAGCTGATCAAAAAGCTAAAAACGTGCACAACGATAGAATATTAGACTGAAAGCTATAATACAAGCCATACTAATCATGAATTAGGAAAATAAATAAATCCAAATTTAAATATTTGAAGTGCAACAGTACACTTAATCAATGTAGAGTTGTTATGACAGCTTAAAATTAAGGGCTTGCAGTTAGGACATTATTCATTGAAGAGTAAGTGGTCTACAAAATTGATATTGAGCACTTGCCAATACCATTTAATTATGCTTATTATTGTGTTAATAATTTAAACATAAGTACATGATCTTATTACTAAGAAGATCAATTCTTCTGGCTAGTAGTGATCGTGTGTTTGATCCCGATCACTCGGAACATATGTCAATAATTCGATGTCATGAGGAGTCACTAATCCACTACAGTGCATATCGTCTACTGATTAGCTTCTAAATTTTTTTTTTCATTTTAATAAATAAGCAATTGTTCATCAACCCTGAAAAGCCTAATACATAATAAAAATGTCCTTCATCAAACACATTTTAATTGTCCGTCAAGAACGAACACTTTTTCTCTGTTTCATGTATAAAATATCTTGAAAAGCAACATAGTAAGAAACAAACTCACTTCCACTGGATTACAAATTACAAATTCCCTAGGAAGTTTTTGTTCTTTTGCTCTAGTCAGTGTGAATATTCTCTCCATTGATGTATTAAATATGATCAATAATTCTAGAAATATTAATCCTAATGAAAAGATATCCACTTTATGATTATAGTTATCGCCTCGTTCCTGAAAGAAAGTTTCAACAGACGAAAATGAACCGTTAGATTTACAAGAGTTATAACAACAACAGTTACAACAAAATAAAGGATATATATACATAGTAAAGTAAAATGTGGTGTCTACAGTAGGGTAGATGCGACATATTAAAGAATAAGATTCTACCTTATAATGAGGTATATAACTCTCTAGAAAAACTTGAAGTTTTTTACTGTTTTACAGAAGGCAGAAGAAATCATTCAACAAATCACCATAATTGCTACAATGAAGAAGACGTTCGGTTACAGTAAGCAACAGTAATAGAATAAATTTGTTTCTTATAATCATTCAGTTTGTGAATATTGAAATCTTATCAAATATGCAATCAACTATACTGCAGGATTTTTAACTCGACTAAACAGAATTCAGATGGAAATAAATATCCCAGTGAACAGTCACATATTAATAGGTGATACAAAGATCACGAATGCCCATGTTAAGAAAGTTTAAGATACTGAAGTGGTTGGAAATTCAATGATACATTAACTTTTAAAAACTTCCTATGAAAACTGACAAATACTCTATTGGTCTAAAGTCTGTTCAATCAAAACTAGAGAAAGAAACTACTATTGACTAAAAATGGTGAGAACTGGTTAGTTCAAAGATATGTAAGAATGTCGACATTCCGACTCAAATAATAAAGCGTTTTTACTTTCTAAAGGGTAATTCAGAAGTTTGTTTCCTTGGGAACGAAACTTAACTCGTAAACACCCAATGGTAGTATTACATAATAAACCATATTACAATTATTTCTCTAATATTTTTGGCGTTAGATGAAAATACATGGAAGTCAACAAACACAAATAATCAGAGCTCAGTTTACGAAGAATGATGAATGAGAACACGAACCAATCTCAGTTGGGCAACCAGTGGAAACTATGAAGCACTGGACAACGACTCCATCCTATTATGCAACTCTTTAGAGATGAGCATCCACATATTGAGTGAAGTTAAATATGTAAATAACAGGATTCCGGGTCAGTAGTCTAAAGAGTAAGCTTTTACAACGGACCTGAAAGCAGTAGGTTAGGTCCCTGGTTGAGTCAAGAATGAGCACTTTTGAGAAATCTCATAACTTGGCCTAATGATTGCCCAATCCCTACTAGTTTGAAGTGGTAATCTAACTGAAGTCGGTTCGTGATTTTTATTAAAATAAGAATAAAGTAGCTGAGATTAGTAAAGATTAATCACAACTTACAGAAACTTATTCATTTCGGTGAATGAATTAAAGATCAGAAAAAAAGAGAACTACCAGCACAAATATAGTACTTTTACAGTAATACAATAACTAATTGAATAACAATGATTTCCAATTTATAAATGAATTGAAAATTTCTCACTTGTTCAGGACTCATGTATAGATCTGTTCCCACGTGATCAGTATGTCTGCGTATTATTACAGAACGCTTTTGTTGAGCAGTGCTAATTTCTTTCAAAGGGTATAGTTGCCGATCAATAACTATATTATTATTTTTATTATTACTACTATTCTTCTCTAATTCACCAGTGAAATCATTTACAATGGTAGTCGCTGAAGAATGTGAAGACTGTTCCTCTTGATTTGCGCCATTAATATAAGAACTATCCGACTGATTTGATTTATCATCAAGCATAGAAGTTACTAAACCAAAATCAGCAAGTTTAAGACGATTTGTTAAATCAAATAGAATATTTGAAGGTTTCAAATCACGATGCATTAAAGAATGATTATGTAAATAAGCTACAGCTTCTACTATTTGACGGAACATACAAATCAATTCAACACGTGAAGGGCGTGATTCTGGAGCACTATGAAAAACAAGCCAGTCACGTAAACTTATCGGAGAACACAATTGCATTTGAATGTATAAATAGCATGTATATTTTGTTTCATCTTTAGTTTGATTTTTTATGGATTGTTCTGTACTGCTTGAATCATCCAGTGAAAGTATTTCAGTATTGGTTTGATGTTCAAAAACGACAAGACTATCATCTAAATTAGATTTCGAAAGCTTGTGATAACTGAAATACAATCAAAAATAAAAGAATTAAAGTATGCACTTAATATAAGAAAAAATTAACGATCTCTATAGACGTTAAGCATAACTGATTTAGATTAATAGAGAATAAAAGAATTGGGAACATTTTAAAAACTCTGAACATTTCACTTCTTTAACTAAATGTGCATCCATTCTTTGTGTTCTCTCATATCCTAATCTTTTGAAGTACTCATGACCATTTTACTCTTTTTTTAACTGATTCCTCTGGGGTATACATCTCGAATGATATATATTAATCATTTTGATTACTGCTAATACTTCTACTACCTCTACTGCCGTAGGATTTTAATTGACAATTGCATCTCTGTGCTAATGTGCTATGGCAACTTGAAATGATGTACGTACGTACGAAGTTCTACGTTGTAATTGACTGACAATGTGAACTAGTAATCATTGTCCGGATTATTGAAATAAATCACCGATTGAAGTGGTGTCAGAAGACAAGACAGCCAACCAGTATGGTCCGTTTCAAGGCGACAAAAATGTTAAAGTAATACATTTGACTAATTTCATTCATTCAATGGTTTTCAAGAAAACCATGTTTCAGTTGAATGTGTAGATTATAAACTCATAACTCGAATAATATTCAAAATACTACTCTATCACTGTATTCCATGATTGGATATTGAGGAATGAACTCCTATTTTAACTTCTTGTCTTTTCTTTTAACTGGACATTTTATGGTACAGCTTGATAGGTAAGGATTAATGCATTTTCAAAACACCTTTCTGAATAGACTATGCTCTACCTGTTCCAAACAGACATACGAGATAATATGACTAGGGTAATAAAAATAAAAATCTATTACCAAATTCAAAAAATCACAGTATTTATGGAGAGTAGGCTCTTCATCATATATTTGGAAAAATTAGTTTTTGATTAATAGTGAGGTAAAAAGACAAAAGGTAAATCGAACATATTTCATACCATCAAAAATGTTATTCTCCTTTTCATTGATCACCTTTATTAATTTACCGTTCTGATGGTTGCTCTTCTTAGTGTGAACCATCACTCTAAGATGTTAGATTGACTAAAGGAATGCTGAAAAATAGGCGTTTAGCCTATTAGCTATTAAATATGTGGTTTTCTTTCCTGTTATCAATCTCTACTCTGAACCCACTAAGAGTGACTACTCATAATTATGTGAAATAAAATATTGCCTGTCGTTTACTTCGGATCTCTATTTCAATCATGATTAGTGTATCTGGTTTCGTGATCTAGTGTCTCCGTGTAATGTGCAAGTTCGAGTATCTAATCCACTGGAAGTATAAACTCGGTGACCAATCTAGTCTCATTATCGTAGTAGTATTATAACGGGAAGAAAAATATCTCAACACCATCGTTATAACAGGAACTTTGAAGTTTTTATTATTCATATAAAAGATCTATATACTATTGAACTATATTTGTTTTCAACCATGACGAATTCGCTACATTATCTAAACAGCCGAGTGGGGGGGGGGAATTACAGATGATCATTCTAACAGTCGTTCAAGTTCTAAATAGACGCATTAGACGTCATATCACAGGTAATATTGGGGAAATATGCATGACTATGTGACGTGTGTTAGAGCGGTGAAATGATAGCAATTCAAAGCGAAGTGATACAAAATTAATAACACATTTCATGATCTTCAATACTGAATAGATTGAATCACTATGTCTAATAATCGCATGCACTCTCTCATTATGAACTACCCATTCATGTTAGTCAGTTACCGGATGGATGTATGACAAATAAATAAAGGAATATGAATGGCTAAAATGTTAGGCTAAAAAGGCAAACAAATCCAAATAATCACAAACATAAAATGAGGTCAGCAGTATATTTAAGTAACTAATTATAGCCTATGATCAATGATATTACCAGTTGATGAGTAGTAATTCAGAGAAAGAAACCATCATTCTTATATATCACAGGAAGAAATGCTGAATCACTAAGAATTAATCCACGAACTGTAACCTTCAACTACAATCAAATAATGGGACACTGATATCCATCATTAAACGACATAAGTCGTGTCACAGGGATAAACCCAATCGAAATAACTGTAAATCTAGAATTATTAAGCCTAATATAAATAACAGGAATTGACTCACCTGGAGTGATTGGACCCATTTAATCCTAGTGAGCTTTTATCTACGCAGAGCGATGCACTCGAACTGTGTGGATTAATACTTGATGAGTAAACTGTATTTGATAGACAATTCTCTTCGTTTCCATAGTTTGTAAAATCACCGCTTCTGGAAGTTAGGTCGTCAGACAAACCGAGTACTAATGCATCATGTGACTCTTGCCAACCAGTAGGAGGATATTCTTTCCAAGCTCGATGATAGCGAACAATACCTGGATGGTCAAGTGTAGCTAAAGCTGGAAAAATCACAAATTCGGAAACATATCTCATTGAATAATTTAAATACAAAATCAATATTTTTCAATGCGGGAAAACTATTCCTACCACCGATCTGTGAATGTACTAGAAAAAGAACTTAGGAAAATTCATAGCTGAATTAAAACAAAATACATGTATAAACGAAAATAATAAATAGAATAGTTACAACTTATAGCAGAATTATAGCCTTGATAATGAATGTGGGTTACAATATTGAAAAATACGGGTTACTCCTAGTATTAAACGAAGACATAAATATTTAACTACTAAAAGCTAAGTAAACACAATTAGGATTATTTAGATTTAGATTTACGCCTGTTACCGCTAATGAAGCAAAGGTCGCCGACCAGCATTCTCCGGTTTTAGCCAATTGCTGTTCATTCTTTTCAAGTCTGCTTCCGTTTCTCTGCGTAGTGTTCTTTGGTCTTCCTCTTCCCCTTTGACCTTGAGGACTCGAAGTGAGAACTTGCCCAGTGACACAGCTGAGTGCTTTCCTCAATGTGTGTCCTATTCATCTCCAGCGTATTTTCCTAACTTTTTCCGCTGTTGGAATCAGTTTTGTTCCATTTAGATTATGACCTTAAGTAATTAATACAACGGAAGGAATTAGCAATCTGATATTCTCACTCAAATGAACGAGAACTACTGAACTTATTGGTATTCATTAAACTACTAATGTCAATAATATAAAGACTATCCACTCAAATCTGCATTCAGTATATACTTTCACATGGAATAACTAATAACAATTATGCAAGTTAGTGAATGATTGCATAATTTCTATTTCGTTGACATCGTAAAACAGGATAAGTTTATAAATACACAAAGCGATGAAGAAAGTTATACATTTTCCAATTAAAAATAAATTATTATTTTTTCACGGATACCTTTTACTTCTCTTAGGAATATATTTTTGTCATCATCAGTATCACTCATTTTAATACGTTTGATAGCGTAACGACAGCCATCAAGACGATTTTCAACTTCAAACACTTGACCGAAACCACCGCGTCCAAGACGACGTATAAACTTGAAATCTGTTTCAAACGACGAAATAAAATGATGTGGTTGTGCATTGACAGTAGTGGTAGTAACAGCAGCAGATGAAGATTTATGTAGGGGATTTGATGTTAAATCATTCAGAGTTGAACACGACGAACATTTAGGTGTGTCACACAAATTACTCGGTGAACTATGCGTTTTAACAACAACTGATTCCAAACTACATGACTCAGATTGAAATGAATCATTTTTCAACCTAAATTAATGAAAACACAATAACTATGTGAATTTTAAAACAGATAAATTCTCTTTAAAATTAGTAACAAGTCTTTATTTGGTACCAGTTGCTGATCTACAAGTGCATTAATCTGAGAATTTATTTCTCATCCAAGAAATCGTGAATTGGAATATGGTGTGATCGCATCAATCTTAACTTTTAATTTGCACATTTCGCAAATCACAGGTTCTCGTATCTGGTTCTGGTTCATATTTAAGGCACTAGGGTCGGTGAAACTACCCGGTAGCCTAGGCCTAAATAGGTGGGCGAAGTTCAAACATGTAACCTACTGGTTGAAGGCCGAGTGTTTGATCTATTAAGCTAAAGCTCTATTTAGTGATGTTATAATAAGTCTTATCCATAAAGAAACATTTATGACATATGAAAAGCTAACGCGTTTCCGTTTACTACGTAGAACTGATGACAAATAGTTATATCGTGTACAGGTTGTTAGAATTTAAGAGATTTCAATAAAACAAAAACTATTATTGTCATCATAAACTTCAACGTTTTATTATAAATCATGGACTTTACTTAGTCAGTTATTTCAATGTGAAAATTTACAAAAACTTTATACATAACAAAATCGAACGTGTTTTCTACTACAACTGTACTTTTCGTTATTTGTAAAGAATCAACATCACATGGTATGTTTATCTTTTTGATACGTTATCATGTTTCTTTTCAGCGAGAGATTCATAATACGGCTTTATAGAAGTATGCTAACACACGTATAGGCATCAAATCATTAATTAAGGCATAAGTTTAGTCAAACAACAATATTGTTTATTCATTCTAAACGATTGTAATTGTATTATCGATTATCCCTTTTTACATAATTTAATAGATTTTAGAACTCAAACACTAGACTAAAACATTAGAAACAGTTGTATATTTAAAGTAAATAGAATTTATCTGTAAACACCAAAGTAATTTACTACAAAGAAAAAGTGTATTAGTCTAAACCCCACCATACCCTTAAGCAATCTGTACTAACTCACTACACTATTCGTGATTCAAAAGACAACGTACTCACCAAAAATGATATAAGAGTATTGTTTAGATAAACAAATAATTCTTTACTACATGTCACTAACCAATTCAAGCTTTAAAATGTATAGAATTTCGCCTATACATGAATTCTAGGCAAAAAAATGAAACCAACATAAATATATATATAGGTTAAATCACTTACTAATTGGTGTACTTTACAAACTCAAATTTGAATATTATGTGTGTTAGTGCAGTAAAAACATGATAATCAGCTGCCAGATAAGAAATAAACAAACTAGAAAAAGTTTATTCAAAAATATAATTTTTCAAAAAAAAGAAACCTACTGTGTAGCATAGTTAATTTTTACATTCAGTATCCAATGTGCCGTGGCATAAATTAATCCGGTCACAACTAGTAGTTGTATGAAATGTGTAGACAAATTAATTCCTAACGATCGACGATTTTCAATACCAGTAGGCGAATAATTGACAGATATCTCACTTGCACGCAACAGAAGCATAAGTAAATCATTGGCACTGTCGAACAATCGTCCTGATATACCACTCGCGTCACTTGCTTCGCCATCAGCTGAACGTATGGTCTTTTCAGGTGATGTTTCTGGTTTAATACCATGTGCGGTCTTGAATTGTCCTACATTAGTCGGAAATCCTAAAGCGGTAGCCTTTTCAATTGTCTCTTCAACACTATCATATACAAGAAATGGTTGGGTGAATTTCATCGATTTCGGCGAGTTTGAATAGGAACCTTGATAATAACCAGTTAAATCAGCACCACGGTTATTTATTGATTCAGCCGAATATACCGATAAACTTTTAGACAGATTTATCATTTCCGGATTGGGAAGATCAACACCATCTTCAGTCTGAAGCAAAAATTGAAAAAGATAACTACAAATATTTAGACTACTATTAGTTGAGAACTAATCTATGCATACAAGAAAATACAAAAAATCCGAAGAATTCATTTATACTGCATGTACCTGAAAACATAAACGACAGTTCATTATGACTACTAATTTGATTTGAGTTGACCGTTTACCGGTGAACCGGGTTTTCAAATATCACAGAAAGTCCTGAGATTCAAATAAAATTATGAATAATAATTTAAGAATAAGTCGAATATACCATTAGTTGGTTTTTGACCTGTCAATCAGTCAGTCATTTAAAACGAAGAACTTCTTACGTGAGTACATAAATCCAAGTTGAAATATCAAATAAGCACAGAGATGAAAGTGTCCGGCCAAATCCCAGAGTAGTAGAGGTTGTAGCAATATTATTAACAATGAAAAAAATTAGGGATCCAGGAAAATACATATCAGTGAAATCAAACGAATCATCAGGAATTCAGATTAGAAGTTGAGAGACACCTATGATCGAACTCTAGTAACCTACGAATACACTGTACTTTCACTAGCCATGTTTCGCAGCCAGAAAACAGAACTGGGTGGACTTCTACGTAGTAAACTCGTCCTTTGGTTGGCAAACTGATATCTCACCTACGCTCCAAGTGAGGCAAGTTGGAAAGGGCCAGTCGAGTTTTCCATGTCTGTGGTGAGATCTGGTGCGTCACCAGACCATCAAGACTAATGTGATTCTCTGGACAAGTGAAGCAGTCAACACGCTCAAATACTTCACTTCATATCACCAGCTTAAGTGCTGACGCAAGCCAATCCTGAAGCAACATTTTGCATTTGGAGGTGGAAAATCGCATCCCGAACGTGCTTGCATTGTTGCTCAAGGTTGTCAGAATACTGCGTTTTATCAACGTCTTCACCAAATAGAACTATGTCATACGAGTACTCTGAGTCAATAAGTGGATCTCCTAGTAAAATGTCGACTCTTGAGAAGTTACACGATGAAAGTGTTATCTCAATAACCATGTCGATGACACGGCTAAATAGGAACGAGAAGGCGGATAATCTTGACAAGCAGTACTAGAATCATTTTCGACGACGGTTCACCATCAGCTCTGACTTTCTCATTTGTATCCAAGTAGAGATCCTTGACAAGATTAATTTACTTTTTCAGTACTCCTTTTAATGATAGATATTGCCAAAGCACCTTACAATCAATGATGAAGGTATTCTCTTTAAAAGAATGTTGATAATAAAGTTAAATAAAAAAAAGGAGAAACTGAACCACCACCATAACTACTATATTAGGTTTAGTTTGTTGGAAACAATGTTTCACTATTTGAAAAATTGAGCGATGAAACAAACTTCTAGTTAAACTGGCAACTTTCAATCAACACCAAATCACAAAGTAATAGAATGGGTGAACTTACTTGAACATACAACTGACCGTTTAAGCTACCAAGATAAATAAGACGATCGCGTGATGGACAATTAGGTTTATCGTAACGTGATGAAGAATGAGTCTTTTTCCCATTAAACAGATTTAAGCCTTTTTCTTTAAATGATTCAAAATTGGAAACAACAGAAGTTTTTCGTTTGAATTCATTTACTTTTTCAATCAATAGTAAGGCAACTCTGTCATCTGAAATTGATATCAACAAATAACCATCGCTAGAAGTTAATTTACAATATTTGCAAGCAATATAAATGCAAAACATAGATCAAACACAGTATATGGGAAGAAAACAAGTGGGAAACAAATCATGATAAACGAAAACAATGAACATTTATTGAATGACTGCACGGTTTGAACTGGGAATAGAAGAAAGTATTAGGGCTTGAAATTCGGTTTGCTTTACATTGCACAAATACATTTCGAGTTATGATGCTTGCGGAGAACTTCCGATTGAAGGCAGTTCCTATAACAGATGGACTTCAGCCAGATAACTATCGAAAACCAAACAGCATTGAACAAATGCTTCGTCCTGCTTTATGACCCCACAGCAGTGTGCATTAACGAATCGACAGAGATTAGGTTGAGGGCCTTCGGAACTCATAGCCAACGAGCCACGTTTAAGTGGATGAGTCAGAGTTCAGATGTCCGGATCAATAGCTTTAACTGACGTGATGATAATCTATAACTATAAACCATTACTGATAATATGTTTCAAAGTCTCTAGTTGGAAATATCAGTGGGTAAATATAAGTAACATTTAAAAATGTATCTGGAGAATAGTGATGGGACAAAGAATAGATAATCGTGAAATGTTGTTATTTACTCACACATCACAACTAGATTAGGATTGCATAGATAGTGCTAAAAAACAGGTAAACGTCAGTGACTACCATCTAAATAATTAGATAATTATCATATAACCACAGTTGACAAAAACAAGAATAAAAACATCGTGTAAATGACCTAGACTCATTTAACGCAGACTAATTGAAGTACGCAGACCTTGTAAATGCTTTTCAACATATATATATATATATATATATATATATATATATATATATATATATATATATATTAGTAAGTTTTAAAACATGGTGTTCACTCGATTATTACTCCACGAAATTATAATTCTACTTTGTTTAACGCATTATTTCTCAACTATCCAATGTATTGAGATTTTGTGTTTGTCATCGCATGTCTAAAATGACCGGGAAAAGCCCTAAAAATGCTATGATTTTATTGGCAAAAAAATTCACACATACGAAAATGGAATAACCTTTCTATAGATATTATTTTAATCAATCAGATAATCCGGTAGTATCAAAAACCTTTATACAAACAATATGACTCAACCCGAGTACGTAACCCGGTACTCAGTAAATGATTTACTGGTTATAACTCTGATTGTCAAATCCTCTTCTGAATCAGGTATAATAAATGAATAGTAAAAAATACCAACCCTTTAAAAACCAAAGGAAAATAATCAGATAAAATGTGAGTAGTATCGAGTTACAATAAATTGTTTCATAAAGTAAAAGACAGAACCAACTACCTGATTTTAATGGAATTTTCAACAAGAGTTGACATCGAAGGTTCATTGTGAAAGACAACTAACTAAGTTTGTTCATCTGAATAGATAATCATACCAATACACCTGTACTCAGTAAACTAATTACACTGGTTGCATAACCACTAAAATCAACGGTTAGTGAACGGATATACCTACTAATTAAGGAACTCATTCGCAGTCCATGACGGGGACTGATTTGTCAATTAAAATTGACTCGTACATAATTAATAATAAGTTTCAGAAATACTGAATATTGTACGATCTAACAATCAACAAAAATATTTACACTTGTTTGATTTAGAGCAAATTATGAAATTATGTCATGTGTTATAACTACAGTAAATACAACACAACGTACACTGAATAGGAGAACTTACGCATAAACAATGACAACGGTCTCAAGTTTTGTAAGTCCCTGCGATAAATCCAAGCTTTGGAAATCCTTGAATTAAAGTTGTAGGACCATAATTCTTTAGACTTTACACCTTTTGTTCTTGCAGTTATCATATCTTTGTCTAGTCCAAAATCCCAATCCGGTTCTTCCATATCAACAAATGATTCATCCACAAACTTTTTACGGGCATACTGAAGATGAAAACACCGAGTATTAAATGATTGTCATATATTGAAATCTATTCAAAACTCAATTTACTTTAAAATTATTTATTATTACTGTTCTTAGGTAACAGCTATAGGATAATAATGAAAGTATATAAGTATAGCATAAGTCTTATTTTGAGTGTGAATGCAATTAATCTTTCTTGTGACACTTTAATCTAAGAGATGGAACAAGAAATACGAAGGTTTATTATCTGATATTCTAGGGGTACTTTTAAATTTCAAGCTAAATTAAGAGTTCATACTCAGCTAGATGTCAATTTATTAGTGGAGTTCGGTATCACGACTAATGCTCATGATGGATTAATATGCTAAACCGTGCACGGAGTACAGCTGACAGACTCGTTCGAGGTGAAGACCGGTGTCAGGCAAGGTTGCTTAGTCTTACCCCTTCTCTTTCTCCTGATGATCGACTGGATTATGAAGACGTCAACGACTGGAGGGAGATAAGGGGACAGTGAACAACCAGGATGCAGCTGGACGATTTGGACTTCGCAGATGATCCGGATCTTCTATCTCACACACAACAACAGAAGCAAGAGAAGACAACCGGCGTAGCAGCAGCCTCAGTTGCAACAGGTCTCGACATACATAGAGGGAAAAGCAAGATTCTCCGATCCAACACAACATGCGCCAACCCAATCGGTATTGATGGAAATGCCTTGTAAGATGCATAAACTTTTACATATCTGGGCAGCATCATTGACGAGCAAGGTGGATCTGATGCAGATGTAAAGGCGTGATTCGGGGAAGAAAGTGAAGCACTTCTAGAACTGAAAAACATTAGCGACACTTAACAACTATCAACCAACACAAGTTAGAATTTTCAATACAAACGCCAAGACAGTTCTACAGAATGGGGCGGAAACTCGGAGAACTACCAAAGCCATCATCCACAAAAGGTGGAATAATAAAATCCTTTACTTAGACAAGATTCAGCAACAGTAACTCAACTATAAACTGCCATAATGCAGCAGTTCACGTTGTCACATCATCCATTAGCAAACAACCTAAGTGACATCTAAATAACAAAGGTATTAGGAATTGAACCTGAATTATACATAAAGCCTTTACGATTTCGCAATGAGGAACCACTCTAGGTTGATACGTCTATTGCTTATAACAGAGGAAATTTATCTTTCAAAAGTATCATTCTTAAGATATAAAACATTCACTACGGATCAAATAGAGCTAGAGACTTCCTAATTATTACTCATCTTGCCTGGGACATTCTTTATTATGTCGAAAATCTCCGAGCTAATCAAATATTACAAATACGGAAATGAATATTATAACATTTGAAAAATACAAATATCATGTCACCAATGCAAGCCTGAATGCTCTGGTACAGTCGACAGCGAGAAAGTCCTGCTCAGCCTTTTGAATTGACCACGTTTTTATAGCCATTATCAAAAAAAGTCATATTCACTGCCTTCCAACGGTGAGTATTGTTGATGGAAACAAGATGATGAAAAACGAACGTCGGACGGAGGAATTATCCAAGAGATTAGGAAAAGCGATTTCAAACCAATGATGTATATGGACTCCAGGATCTCAAGGGGTTGAATACCGAATGAATCAATCTTTTATCAGCGAATACAATAGAATTACATCTCTTCACCTTGCTGCGCTGATTTATGGGTTAGATCCTTCAGTCAAAGGCCTGAAGAATGGCCTTTCAATAGAACCATGTGCTTTGGTCTGAGAAACCCGGCAGTATTCCAGTCCACCGACAAATGTTATAGTAATTACGGAGAAATCGCTTCATTTGCATCACCTAGCTACCTACTCACAATGACTCTATTGAAAATGTTTATATTTTACAAAACTTTTGACTTCCTTAGGTTTCTATACTTCATAACTCATTTAACAACTTATCTGTCGTAAAAGTTATTTCCTGTCTAAACGATTTGAATTTTCTGACAGGTACAAATTTTGAATGCAACCACTGAATACGGAATCTAAACCCGCTTTTCTGAAATCGAATTTCCCAATCAAACTGACCTCTTTCAAAACTATTTAGTACGCACTAGATCTCATCACAGACACGGAAAGCTCGACTGGCCCTTACCAACTTGCTTCACTTGTAGCGTAGGTGAGATATCAGTTTGCCAACCAAAGGACGAGTTTACTACGTAGAAGTCCACCCAGTTCTTCTTTCTGGCTGCGAAACATGGCCAGTGAAAGTACAGTGTATTCGTAGGTTACTAGAGCTCGATCATAGGTGTCTCTTAGGTATTGCTCGTTCATTCTGCGACAACCGAGGAAGCAATGTTGTTGTACGGAACGGGTACTAGGTAAAGATGGCAGATCAATTGATGAAGTATTGAATCTTCATCAGTTGAAGTGGTTGGGACATGTGTTACGTGTTTAACCACTGACTGCCTCAACGAACTATGTTTTGTAGTGTAAGAGTAGGTTGGAAGAGAGTTAGGGGCGGCCAAACCAAAACATGGCACAAATCCACGAAACCACTAACAACTGGATTGAGACATGTTGGTAAATGTAGACAACCTTGGTTGTGGTCCGAGAGATGATAGTAACTGATGGTTTGAGACCTTGAATGACATGGCTGAAAACCGTTTGCAAAGACACAGGTAAATCTATTCCTTGTAATCTCTCACATCCTAATCTTCTGATTTACTCAAGACCGTTTTACTCTTTTTTATTGATTCCTTTGGTGTCTACATCTCGAATGATATATTCGATCATTTATCTTTTTGATTACTGCTAATACTCCTACTACCTGTACTACTGTAGGATTTTAATTGACATTTGTATCTCTGTGCTAATGTGGTATGGCAACTTGGACTGATGAACGTCCGAAAGAAGTGCAACGTTGTAATTGACTGACTGAAATGTTTTTAATTAATTTATTTATATTGATTATATTTACCCTTCGTCTATATTTTCACAGTTTAATATTCTTATTTGTATCTTTGTGCACATTTGTACTAGTATCTACATGTTTAAATGAAAATAAAATAAATTGGCCCAGCTGATTCAAAAAATATTATGGTGGTATTGAAATATAATGACTATTATTACCGCGATGAGCTACTTTGACATGATACCAAAGAATTAGCTTACCAGATTTTTACCAGTACTTGTATAACTGTTATTATCACGAAAATTCATCATCATAAGACACGTGAATAAAACATTTTAAAAGATACTACAATATTCTGTAACATTATTGCTTGAGATAGTGTGTAAATAACTTACTGAAGTTCCCAAAGGTACGTTACAGATAGGTGAGTTTGTTTGCACAGCAGTAGTTGGTGTATGACTTCCACCAGTTAGCAGACAAAGGTCGTATTGATGGACACTCAAATTCCACTTCTCAACTCCTAATGGAGCATTTACGGCGCGAACTACGTTATTTACTCTGTACACAATAATCGTTGGATCTTTTGTATTTGTAGGTTCCTCAACTAACTTTTTATCAACATCAGAACTAGTACACCCATCACGGGAGCAATTATATCTGATCTGTAAAACAAGTCAAGATGGAATACTGAACGACACATTAAAAATGCATTAGGAATATGAACTGCAGCACAAGGGAATCATTAAAAAGAAACGAAATTGAATGATAGGAAATCGTTGCCTTAAAAACAACAAACCAGGAGAAATCCTTTTGCTAACAAACGCATTATATAACCAGAAAGTAAAGAACTTACGAGTAGAGCGATAAAACTCAATTTATTACGTAACCTGCTCGTTGTAAATGTATTATCCTTGTATTAATATAACTTACCTTAGCTTCTTATATCTTGTCGATAAGTTTCAGTAAAAGGTCGCTTGTGCTCTATCCGACTAAACGGGACAGTAAGGACTCGAATGGATAAAGACACTCGCTGTTGTCTCTGCCTATGCTCCCACTGACTGCAGCTCGAACGAGGTAGATGAATTTTTTAGAAGACTTTCCAACCTTCTTTAAAACGTTAAGCGCTCTGACACTAACAATTGCTGGTTACTTCAATCGCGAGATGATAATAATCGATGGTTACAGACCCTGAATGACATGGCTCAAAACCGTTTGCAATGGCGCAGGTGCATTTACTCATTGTGTTCTATGAAATTCTAACCTTCTGGATTCCTCACCATTTCTATCTTCCTCTCTTGCTAAATTTAACTCAATGAATTATGCTTTTTGAATAACATCTTCGAACCCAAATCTCTCTGATTACTTCTAATATTTATACTACCTCTACTACTATGGGATTTGAATTGACAATTATATCTCTGTGCCAATGCGGTATGGCAACTTGAAATGCTGCACTCACGTGCAAAGTCCTACGTTGATGTTGATGATGATGGTTACTTTAATGCTTAAGTAGGTAAACTCAGGGAGTAGGAAAGACACCTAGGTGGATCTCATGGTGTCGCGGTAGATCGGAAAGATAATGGCGATCGTTTGATACAGCTACGCTCGTATAATCCCCTATATCTGGCAAATACTAACTTGCAACATAACGACCTTCAAAGTCGGCTCAACGCAGGGTACAACTAGAACACATTGCTATCAGTCACCGATGGACAGGCTCGATAGAAGATTGCCACTCGTTCTGGAGCAAATGTTCAGATTAAGGTCATGCTCTAGTACCAGCACCTATTTGTCAACAGCATACTGGACGTAAGAAATACAGCAATCAAACCTTGTAGCGTCCTACCTACGATAGCAAAGCCAAAAGTATAGTTCAGTAGCAACTAGAAAGACAGTTAAGCAGTCATGTAGTAAGTGATGACCATCCTGAGGCAGCTTCGAATGATACCAAAAAGCCGTGGAAACAGCACTGGCATGTAGCAGAAAGGTAAACCAAAATGTTGGGAAGAAGCAATGGATTTCAGTATTATCTACGGAACTGATAGATGTTCGGAAACTTATTCCATGTGGTCCTAAATACGATGAGGAATGGAGGGAACTTAAGCGCAGGATGATATCAAAAAGGCTATGGAAACAGCAGTGATATCTGCTAGTAAGGTAAACCATAAGGCTAGGAAGAAGCCGTGAGTCTCAGTAGCATCTACCGAACTGATGGATGCTCGAAAACTTATCCCATCTGGCTTCTGAACATGATGAAGAGTGAAGTCAGCTTAGGCGCAGGATGGTAAAAAGCCTACACAACGACCACGAACAGTGGTGGGTGGAAAAAGCAAAAGCGACGGAAAAGGCAGCGGCAATAGGCAACAGCAGTCAGGTATTCAGATTCACCAAGGAAACCGGTACTAAAAATCCATCTGTTAGCGAAACTATAGCAGAAAAGGGTGGCTGTATCATTCATTCTCAATCCAGTAGATTGGATCGATGGGCAGAACACTTTAGGGATCAGTTCAACTGGCCTTCAGCCACACTTTGGTTGCCCACGATCTCCAGTCATCCTGGATGGGAAACCGAATAAGTCCTCCTAGTCCT